TGCACATGGTGGCATGTGTACCAATTGTTATGGTTCTCCCTAACCCTTCTTACAACTTTGACTAGCAAGAAGAAGCTGGCAAAATGCAAGGAGCTTACAAAGCATGCTTATATGTAGATAACTGAGGATGATTCTCTCAATTGAAGCATGATCCACACTCATCAGCTTCTTCTGTTCTGTTCCACAAACTAAAACTGAAATGACTCAATTTTCCTAAAAATATATTCATTTATCACTCATAAACAACAAAAATATACATTAAGTAGGTACCAGGGCAATAAAAAACATACAAGTTACATATTTTTTCATGTAGGTACAGTCCTTTCACAGCAACGATATGTAGAAACGCACCAAGACGTTCACGGAGAGCCCACCCATAACAAACTATAGTTGAAGCCGGGGCTCTGCTGCAGCAGCAGGGGTGACGTACAGGGCACAGAGGTCATGTCACATCATGTTGTACAACCTGTTGTTCGAAAAAAACAGATCAACATTGATTTTGAAAAACTGTAGCGCTTTCTTCAGTCACTTAGGTAAGCTTTCTCGCAAGACGTTACATTAGATTCACCACTCTTGACAAAATAATCAGATTGAAACTTAGCTCTTGTGCCTGATGCACTTACATTTCAATTTATTGAAATAAAACACTCAAATTTACCCTTGAAAATTGTTGACATTTAAATGATATTAACATCAAGATTTTGATGATCAGCAAACAAGCTATTCAAATCACACCCATATAATAACTTTGGCAATGTTGATAACTCTTGCTGTCTTATTGAAAAGCAAATCTTCAATTTGTTCATATCCAAATCCAATGCCAAGCACTGAAATCTTGTTGCAAGGCCCTAAAAACAACAGACAAAAACAAAACAGTCCTGTGGAAATCGCCAGTGCGGTGCGGCGGCCTTGGCGAAATTCAGGGGGGCGACACGGCTATTCGCGCAATGTATTAATTTATGGGCCGCGCGGGGCCTCGCGATGACGCGGGTGGAGGCAACTGCTCAGCGCGCTAGGATACTTCTGGCGGGTCGGGGCGCTGAACGGTGTGCAATGAATGGGTTATGGTCGGGCCGACAGAGATGAGGTATTGAATTTGAATTGACATCAGCAATCGGGTGGGGAAGGAGAACGTTCCTAATCGAGCTTGGGTTGGGGAAAGCCGAAAATATCGCGATCGGCTCATAGCTCAGACAGGGGCGGGTGCCGTACCATGTGTTGTATACATATTTAGGCGGGCAGACAGAGATGAGTTATTGGATTTAAATTCACCTTACCATCGGTTTCTGGTGGGGTTTGAAAATGGTTTTAGTCAAGCTCGGAGTGGGGCAACCCACTGGCGGATCCAGGGGAAGGCATTTGGGGCAAATGTCTTCCCCCACATTGGCAGCGCCCGAAATCGCTTTTCGAGAATCAAAGAAAACTTCACAACTTTTCTGAGGAAATGTTGGTTAATCACACTGCACAGCAGTGCGCAAGGAATCGAAATCAGTTTTTTTTAATTAATTCCGAGAAACCTTTTTGGGGTAAGCCCCCGCAGTGTCCAAGACCGCTTCCTGGATCCGCCAGTTGTGAATAAGTCACGGTCGATACCGAGCTTCGGTGGGACCAGGCGCTGTATACGTTGTTCTTTCAATGAAGAGGTGGACAGACACCTAGCCCCACATCCTACTGCTATGCCCGTGCTTCTGTGGGTGAAGCACTAAAGCATCACGGAATCCCACAGGACCTGCGAGTCGACGAGGTGGGCCGCTTTGGCCGCCAGGTACTGCAGCTCCCTGGAGTTGCCTAGGACCGATGGCAAAACAACAGCTCCGGCGGTGCCCCTATGGGCCGTAGTAATTAGCGAATTCCTGTAATGTAGAGATCATATCCTCAATAATCTCCATTACCATTTTATATTCCTAAACAGTATGACAGAACAATTATGCTTGCCTACGTTCAGGCATTACCTATGATGGTCATACGTCCAGTACAACATGTGTTGTCTGTCAAACAACAATCGACGACGGGATCTCTTCTCATTATCTCTTAAGCCATCGGTTGTCAATTCACCCACCCCGTTTCCCTAAAAATAGACGGTCAGATTCGGCCTGGGTCCTTACGACCCCTCTAGATTCGCCAGAGACGGGATCGGATCGCCGTTATTGCACCCGTCTTAGTGTCTTTAATACTATGACAGCTTCGACCACGGACTTCGGACGGGGTGATCGTTCCACGAATGTACGAACCATCCAGGCCTAGAGTGCATCGAGGTTTAAAAGAATGCAGTCTGTAGATCAATAAACATAACAATGGTGGTATACAACCACATTAAAATATCTCCCCGGCTCCCGCAACGTTCCAACGCCCCTCCATTATGCATTCGCCTTGTGTGTCCGCCGAGCCGGCTTGCCTCCAATGACGTCATCGGCCGGCCGGCGGCGTTCAAGGTCAAACGGCTGGTGTCCTTAACTGGAGTTCTATAGCCTTGGCGAAATTTCCCAAGGCTGCTCGTTGTTTACATTTTAGCGATGGGCCAACTTGGCCGCCCAAGTACTTGTTTTGCGTGAGTAAGTACAATTTTGTCAATTTTGAAACGGCTATATCTCGCAAATTTTGGTACCGATTTACATTTTATGCATATCTTTAGAATCGGCAGAGTCTGGGGAGTTCATTGATTGGAAATTTATGCCGATTCCTTTCAATTTTTAAACCCTGATAATCCCTTTAATGACGATAATCCCGCCGCCACAAATCTAACGAAACACATTGACCTTTGATAGGTATTGATATTGATTGATATTCTGAAAAGAAATTTCAATAGTGATTTATAGTGAACGTGTTCTTACGCAGCTGTGACATAAGCTGCGCATACGAAAAACACCCGCTAGACCAATTGGTGGCGAATAAACCTGTTGATGAAGAAATACTTGTCTCCCATTGGTCTGTGAACACAATCTGCAGGAAACGCAGCTAAAACTACAGTAAAATTACGGTCGTCAAGTTAGATGTAAGTGAATCCTAATCTATAATCTAAGATTCGGAATCAGGTGGGCCCCTACGATTTGGACCAAACTTGGTCAGTGGATAGTACGTAACGTCCTGATTACGATGCACCCAAAATCTAAGCTCGGCCCGTCATATTTACGAAGTTACGGATGTTTGAATTTCAAGGTCATTCGGGAGAGCCCCTACGATTTCCGTCAAAATTTGTGTACGGACACTCTAGATGCTCCTCATTACGAATATCACAAAATTTAAGCTCGGCCCACCATATTTACGAAGTTACGGAGGTTTGAATTTCAAGGTCATTTGGGTGAGCCCCTGCGATTTCCGTCAAAATTGGTATACGGACATATTACATCCTCCTCATTACAAATATCATAAAAGTTAAGCTCGGCCCGCCATATTTTTCAAGTTACGGAGTCACAAAGTTACGGAATTTCAAGGTCATTCGGAGAGCCCCTCCGATTTTCGTCAAAATTTGTATGCGGACACATTACATGCTCCTCATTACGAATATCGTAAAAGCTAAGCTCGGCCCGCACTATTTCAAAAGTTACAGATGTTTGAATTTCAGTGAGTTTCAAACGTCAGTAACTTTTGAAATAGTGCGGGCCGAGATTAGCTTTTACGATATTCGTAATGAGGAGCATGTAATGTGTCCGCATACAAATTTTGACGAAAATCGGAGGGGCTCTCCGAATGACCTTGAAATTCCGTAACTTTGTGACTCCGTAACTTGAAAAATATGGCGGGCCGAGCTTAATTTTTATGATATTTGTAATGAGGATGATGTAATATGTCCGTATACCAATTTTGACGGAATTCGCAGGGGCTCACCCAAATGACCTTGAAATTCAAACCCCCGTAACTTCGTAAATATGGCGGGCCGAGCTTAAATTTTGTGATATTCGTAATGAGGAGCATCTAGAGTGTCCGTACACAAATTTTGACGGAAATCGCAGGGGCTCTCCCGAATGACCTTGAAATTCAAACATCCGTAACTTCGTAAATATAGCGGGCCGAGCTTAGATTTTGGGTGCATCGTAATCAGGACGTTACGTACTATCCACTGACCAAGTTTGGTCCAAATCGTAGGGGCTCACCTGATTCCGAATCTTAGATTATAGATTAGGATTCACTTACATCTAACTTGACGACCGTAGTAAAATTTTGCAGCAAAATCTGCAGAAAGTAAGAAAAATGCAATTTAAACATATTTAGCCAATGAGTCTGACGGATCTGTTGATATATTCCGATAGATATTGAGCACGATCAGTCATTTTGAAAGAATTACGGTCCGACTCTCTTTATTTTTAAAGCAATGACGCATAAAAGAATTAGTGAAAAATTGACAAAAATATTTTCTTGGAAGAAAAAGTGGGACTAGCGTTCAATTAAAAATCAAAATTAATACACGGATCGAGACCTCGCTTTCAAAAGTATTTATCAGTGCATTTTCGCATCGAATCTCTCTAAATCATGAACAAACTTGGGCAAAAACAGCAAGATTGCCTGTTTTGTCAATTCACACATTTTCATATTTGGGGGCAATTTTAAAGTTGATGGCCAATGTTTTCAAAGTTAACATTTCCACAGGAAAAAATACAGCTATTTTTCTCCCAAATTCATCCATTTGTAGAGTCCGACTCTCTCTTGTTTTCTCGCAGTTTTCGTTGTACTCTGAGAGAAACGATCATGTGTATCATAAGCGTTTGGTTCACTTCAAGATGACAGAATTTGCACTTGCATTTTCTGCCGTGTGGAAGACCAGAGGGAGTCAGCTAATTTATGACAGAATATGTTTAAAAAATGATTGGTGAATATTATTTTTTGTCAGTGTCTGACCAATATTTATAATTTAAATCACGCTCTTCAGCTGTCAAGTGAGTTCCAAATAGCTTAAATTGTCAGCTGTTTATCGTCCTAGGTCAGCTCAAGGTCACAGACGTCAGCTGAAGAAAGTGGTGACCATTGACCCTGTGTTGAGCGGACAAACCGGTATTCTATGTACCGTGATCGCAACTCGCAAGGGGGATCCGCCGATCCGATTTTGATTTGCTCGTTGTGCCTATTTGCATGATTCCGATCACAAATTCTGCAAATTCAAGGCAAGTCTTCTAGGATTTCAATTGATTTTATGCATCGCAATTTTGATTTTGCCATATCAATATCAACCATCATTCTGATTGTGAGACAACCCGATGCGATGTCTATGGTCTTGTTTTCTTTTCTTTTCTTTTTTTGCTCTTGAGTCTTGACTTTTGTTTTTGTATTCGTTTGATAGGTACTACCGTCATTCTTGTATCTTGTATTTTGTATTTTCATAAATCACCAACAGGCTTACGCCCAATGACAGGTGAAGTCACACGCACACGCATACATCAACATGCATAAATCCCCCCCCCCCCCCGCCAAATTTATTCGGGGTGACTTAGATCGTCGGGGTGACTATGATAATGCCCCGGGTGACTATGATAGCCCACAGGAAAACCACAGAACCACAGGAAAAGGGGGCAAAGGATCTCTGCTCTTGCAGGGATGGTAGTACAGGCACAGCACCTCAAGCCATCAGGGTCTGGGACACAAGAAAAGGACAAAGCAAGGGACAAAACCAAAGAAGCGAAGCTTCGCTGAGCAAGACAAAGAAAAGAGTCAGCAGAGGAGCCAGACTCAGGGGAGGAGGAAAAGTGTAGTATCTTTGAGAGGTGGAACCCCCCTGGAGCCACAGGGGACAAGAACATTGTAGTGTCGTCGGTATCGGTAACCCTGGCGTCACCGGTAGCGTTTTCGTTCAAGGTTAAGGTTTCCTGCATTAGGCAGTATTAGGCCACCGTGCCATGCCGTAGCATGCTGTGACGTCACTGGGTAAGAGAACGTACCACGCTATCAGTATCGACTGAGACTCGGATAGACTCAGAACGACTCAGGCAGACTCAAACTGACTCAAGCAGATCGACTCAGATCGACTCAGAATGACCCAAACTGACTCAGACCGACTCAACCGACTCAAATCGATTCCGATCGACTCAGACTGACTCAGAACGACTCAACTGACTCAAATAGATTCCTATCGATTCCGATCGACTCAGACAGACTCAGAACGACTCAGGCAGACTCAAACCGACTCAGGCAGACTCAAACTGACTAGACCGACTCAGAACGACTCAAACTGACTCAGACCGACTCAAACCGACTCAACCGACTCAAATCGATTCCGATCGACTCAGACCGACTCAGAACGACTCAGGCGGACTCAAACCGACTCAAATCGATTCCGAGCGACTGAGGCAGACTCAGAATGACTCAGCCAGACTCAGACAGACTCAGAACGACTCAGGCAGACTCAAACCGACTCAGGCAGACTCAAACTGACTCGACCGACTCAGAACGACTCAAACTGACTCAGACCGACTCAAACTGACTCAGACCGACTCAACCGACTCAAATCGATTCCGATCGACTCAGACCCAGTAAACATGACGACGTCGGCCCGACGTCGGCCAAACGTCGGTCCAACCTCGGCCCGACATCGGCTGGACGTCGGATATGCCCGCATGTTCCGACGTCCAGCCGAAGTCCAGCCGACGTCGAGCCGACGTCGGGCCGAGATCGTTTGCCGAGGTTGACGAGATCGTTCGTCGTTGGACCGACGGGGCCGACGTCGGCATGTTTATTGGGACAACGCGCCAAAAGTATCAACCGGCGGCGGGATTCGAGCCCCCCAGTCGCCGACGTCGGCATGTTTACTGGGACAACACGCCAAAAGCATCAGCCGGCGATGGGGTTCGAACCCCGTGTCATTCGAACGCGAGGTTAGTGCGCTAACCACTACACCACGCAGCCAGCTAACGAATTTGGTTTGTTTTGTTGTTTATGCCCTTTCGGTCTGACAAGACCATTTCAGAGCCGGAAGGATCAAAGGATGGAGACATTGGTCTTCTTGGCGAGCACCCTGGGTCCAGTTCATATAGAGTCCCTGGTCCCATTGCTGTTACGTGACACTTATTGGAAAGGGCGACCCCACAATGGATTCATATAGCCACTCTTACACACCTGCACCAACGTTTCCCTAAGTGTCCCTTTGATAAGTGGCACTTTGGCAAAGTGACACTTGCCGACTGGCCTTTCTATATGAACTGGGCCCGGCCCTGGTGAGTTGCCGGGGCTGAGCCTGACCAAAGGATAGGCCGAGCAGCCCCCAAGCACTCACCGCTCCCGGCTACGGGCGAGCTCGGCTTACGGGCAATCCCAAATGGGATAAAGTTTCCCGTCCAGTCCGGATCAGGGGGTTGCGGCGTGGAGGAAGATTTGAGTTTCCTGAGGATATTTTGAATACAGAAGCTCTTTATGAAGCATGAAACATGTATTTTATATTATTTTAACGGTCAAAACAGCGGCCGATGTCGGTCCGACGTCGCCCCGACGTCGGCCCGACGTCGGCTGGACCTCAGCAATTGATCTCGGTCCGACGTCGGCCCGACGTCGGCTGGGCCTCGGCTGGACGTCGGAACATGCGGGCATATCCGACATCCAGCCGACGGCGTGCCGAGGTTGGACCGACGTCGGGCCGACGTCGGCATGCCGATGCCGAGTTGCCGACGTCACCCCGACGTCGGCCGACGTCGGGCCGACGTCGGCATGTTTACTGGGGACCGACTCAGAACGACTCAGGCGGACTCAAACCGACTCAAATCGATTCCGAGCGACTCAGGCAGACCCAGATTGACTCAGGCAGACTCAGACAGACTCAGAACGACTCAGGCAGACTCAAACCGACTAAAATCGATTCCGAGCGACTCAGACAGACTCAAAACGACTCAGGCAGACTCAAACCGACTAAAATCGATTCCGAGCGACTCAGACAGACTCAGAACGACTCAGGCAGACTCAAACCGACTCAGGCAGACTCGGGCCGATTCAGATAGACTCAGGCAGACTCAACAAACCGACTCAGGCAGACTCAGACTGATTCAGATAGATTCCGAGCGACTCAGAAAGACTCAGAACGACTCAGACGGACTCAGGCGGATTCAAACCGACTCAACCGACTCAAATCGAGTCTGTTTGAGTCTACCTGAGTCGGTTTGAGTTTGCCTGAGTCGTTCTGAGTCTGTCTGCGTCGATCGGAATCGATTTGAGACGGTTGAGTCGGTCTGAGTCAGTTTGAGTCGTTCTGAGTCGGTCTGAGTCGATCGGAATCGATTTGAGTCGGTTGAGTCGGTCTGAGTCAGTTTGAGTCGGTCTGAGTCAGTTTGAGTCGTTTTGAGTCGGTCGAGTCAGTTTGAGTCTGCCTGAGTCGTTCTGAGTCTGTCTGAGTCGATCGGAATCGATTTGAGTCGGTTGAGTCGGTCTGAGTCAGTTTGAGTCGTTCTGAGTCGGTCTGAGTCGATCGGAATCTATTTGAGTCGGTTGAGTCGTTCTGAGTCGGTCTGAGTCGATTGGAATCGATTTGAGTTGGTTGAGTCGGTCTGAGTCAGTTTGGGTCGTTCTGAGTCGGTCTGAGTCGATCGGAATCGATTTGAGTTGGTTGAGTCGGTCTGAGTCAGTTTGGGTCGTTCTGAGTCGGTCTGAGTCGATCGGAATCTATTTGAGTCAGTTGAGTCGGTCTGAGTCAGTTTGAGTCTGCCTGAGTCGTTCTGAGTCTATCTGAGTCTCAGTCGATACTGATAGCGTGGTACGTTCTCTTACCCAGTGACGTCACAGCATGCTTCGGCTTGGCACGGTGGCCTAATACTGCCTAATACAGGAAACCTTAACCTTGAACGAAAACGCTACCGGTGACGCCAGGGTTACCGATACCGTGTCGTCTTCCGAATCTCCCGAATCAGCAGTCCGCTCGTCAAGTCCTCACCAAATCCTCACAGTGCCAGCCCGATCCAACAAGTGTGTATTTTACAAAACTGAAGCTCCGACAACATCTCGGCCAAGGTCAACTGAATTCATGGTCGTTAAATCACTGCCGTTTAGTTTACTGCCAAGTTACTACATTTTCCCCCCTCCATTAACGGAAACGCGCTGGTGTCTTGATGCGTCTCCCACACCGCGTTCGCCGTTCCCCACCGTCACGCGCCAGGGACGACGGTCCCCCACCGTCGCCACGTATCGGGGACGACGACCCCTCACCGCGCGCACCGTTGCCACGTATCGGGGACGACGACCCCTCACCGCGCGCACTGTCGCCACGTATCGGGGACGACGACCCCTCACCGCGCGCACCGTCGCCACGTATCGGGGACGACGACCCCTCACCGCGCGCCGGGGACGGCGGCGGTCCCGCCGGAGACGGCGGCGGTCCTCCGTCGCCGCGTGCCGGAGACGATGCGCGGCCCCTGGACAGCGGTCCACCGCCGCCGCGCGCCGGAGACGGCGGTCCTCCGCCGCCGCCTGCCGGAGACGGACAACCGTCGACTTCACTCCGTCTCGCTGGCGGCGATCCGCTCGAAGGATCTGTGGAGCGGGTTAGTCGTTCAGCGTGCACCAATGTCCCACAGCTGAGTTTGTATGAGACACGTCCCCTCCTTTCCATCACCATTCTCGGAGACGAGAAGGCCTGCCGACCTTTCCTGGGGCGGGGCACCAGCCTAAACCTCACCCATTCTCCCACTTCATAGTCCCTCGGCCGGGCACAATACCTCAGGTCGAAGTACTTTTTCTGCTTTTCCTGCTGCGTCGCCACCCGCGCCCTCGTCGTCGAGTCGTCCACCGGACGACGCTCAGCCGCCGCGTGCAGCTTGGTGCGCAGTTGCCTCCCTCGCAGCAGCTCCGCCGGTGACCTGCCCGTAGTGGAATGGGGTGTGGACCTATATGACAATAGGAACTCACGGATGGCCCGCTTCCAATCCATACCATCGGCCGTCGCAGTCTGCAGGACATTTTTGACGTTCTTATTGAACCGCTCAACTGCTCCCGCCCCCCTTGGATGATAGGGAGTCACTCTGATTTGTCTCACACCCACTTCTTTCAGGTAGCCTGTGAAGACAGCAGAGGTGAATGCAGTACCGTTGTCACAAACTAGCTCTTCTGGGTATCCTTCTCGACTCGCAACAGCCTCCATGAACTCTATCACTGACTCCGAGTTGGGGTGTGCACAAAATGCTACCTCTGGCCACTTTGAGTAGTAATCGACCATGACAATAGCAAAACGTCTCTGCACCCCACCTCCCTCCATCGGTCCAATGAAGTCTATGCCCACTTTACTCCAGGGCGTCTGGGGCAGGGGCACCGGATTCAGTGGGGGCACATTCACCTTGACAGTCTTGTCAGCGGTAGCGCAAGCAGCACATTGACGCACAAGACACTCAACGTTGGCGTCCATCCCGGGCCACCAAAACAGCTCCCTCAAGCGCTGCTTAGTTCTTACCGTGCCTTGATGCCCCTCATGAGCAAGATCCAGAAGACGCCTTCTCAGCTCCTCCGGAACCACGATCCGGTCGCCCTTGAAGATGAGACCGTCAGCCGTTGACAGCTCCAGCCTGCAGCGGAAGAACGGTCTCAGGTCGTCAGGACAGCTGGCAATCCTTGCCGGCCACCCTTCGTCCAGCTGACTCTTCAGCTTCCTGAGAACAGGATCGGTCTGAACTGACTCGCGGAGCTCGCCTCTGCTCACTGCCGAGAGACGCTCCACCCGTTCAGCTATCTCCGCCACCAGCTGCTCCTCGTCGTCTGGAGCCGCTTCCGCGCCCACTGCCGGCAGACGCGAGAGACCGTCAGCCACGTTACACTTGCCTGGCACGTGACGGATCTCGAAGTCGTAGACGAAGAGGCGACTGGCCCAGCGACTGATCCTCATTCCTGCCCGTCCGACTCCTCTGGACGTGAGAAGTCGCAGCAGCGCCTGATGGTCCGTCCTGAGGGTAAAGTGAATGCCAAACAGGTACCGATGCCAGTGTTCAATAGCCCATAGAGCAGCCAGTGCCTCCTTCTCAGTCGCACAATACTTCCGCTGTGCTGAGGAGAGGGTAGCGGATGCAAACGAGACGACCCGCTCTCCCTCCGGGTGGATCTGGCTCAGCACCCCACCGAGACCAACATCAGACGCATCCGTGGTCACCACTGTCGGTAAGGTGGGGTCAAACATGGCAAGCGCAGAACTGGACGTGATCAGAGCGATCACCCTCCTGAAGACCAGCTCCAGTTCCTCAGACCACTCGAACTCGTGACTTGCACTCGAACGAAGTTCCGCGCGCAGAGGCTCCACCAGCGACGAGTAGCCCTGCACGAACCTGGCACAGAAGCCAAAAAGGCCCAGAGCTGACTGGAGGTCAGCCTTGGTCCGCGGTGACGTCATCTCCGTCATCCCTCTCGTCCTCTCAACACTGACCGAGATGCCAGCTGCGCTCACTGTCAACCCGAGGAAGTCAAGTGTGGGGACACCAAACAAGCACTTCTTCTCGTTCAGGGTGATACGATGAGCGTTCAGTCGCGCGAGGACCTGCTGCAGCCGGACATCATGCTCTGGTGCATCCCTGCCAAACACAATGATGTCATCCATGTACACCATCACCCCTGGCAGACCCGTCAGGACGGCTTCCATGACCTTCTGGAATGCCGCTGGAATGGACGACAGTCCAAAACAGCACCGTTTGTAGCGCCACAGACCCTCGTGCGTCATGAAAGCGGTCAAGTCACGGGACTCTTTGTGAAGCATCAACTGATTGAATGCTGACTTCATGTCTAGTGAAGAAAAGACTCTGGCTCCTCTGAGCTTATCTAACATCTCTTGCATGTCAGGCAAGGGGTGCTTACTTGAGATGATGCTCTTGTTCACCTCCTTCAAGTCCAAGCAGAGACGGATACCACCAGTCCGTCGCCGGGTGACCACCACAGGTGACACCCATGGAGAGGAGTCCACCCTCTCTATGACGTCCTGCTTCTCCAGCTTCTCCAGGTGCTCCTTCACTTCACCCCTGACCGACAGCGGCAGGGGTCGCAGCTTCTGACGGACGGGAGTGGCCCCCTCCTTCACCTTGACTCTGTGGACAAAGCCGTGTATGGCGGGCAGAACCTCTGCATCCTCCCCCTCTACCGCACAGACGACATTGCCATCTTTGACTGTAACACTAAGCAGCTGCTGTAGGTCACGGCCAAGCAGGGGTACACTGTGGGACTCCACCACGAACAAGGTACCCTCAGTCGAACATCCCCTGTCAGAGGACACTGTGGCCGTCATCATACCACGAACAGGCAGAAGGTGTCCTCCATATCCCTGAAGCCTGATGGAAGACATCTGTAGAGGGACGTGCGCAAACTGCTCCTGATACAAGCTGCTGGGTATCAGACTCACTCCCGATCCTGTATCCACCAACATCTGGACCTGAATTCCATCAATGCCAACAGACATCATGGGACGAGGCACTTGAGAGGGCACATGGTGCACAGTCGACACTTCTACCACACAGGCATGCGAAGACTCCTGACGCTTGCACATGACTGCATAATGCCCTTTCTCATGACACTTGTTACACTTCCTGACCCTGGCTGGACACTCCTTACTCTTGGCTTTATGTCCTTTACGGCCACATGCAAAACAGGTCATCTCACCTTGCTGTCGTTTCTTGCCTTCTGAGTCTCGCCGGGTGGAGAAGCCGCCTCTCCTCTCAGTCGCTGCCACCTCCTTGAGGACCTCTGCCCCCAGCTCCGGAGACCTGCCAGCTAGAGTTTGTTGACGGTCAGCAGCCTGATCAGCAGCGAGAGCGATGACTTCAAGACGCTGCAGGGTTAGGTTTTCTTCCTGACACAGTCTTTCCTTAAGCCTTTGAGAGGAACATCCTTCCAAAAACTGATCTCTTATCATTTCATCTTCTAAGTTACCAAATGCACACTTCTGACTACCTTCCCTCAGATTGGCTAGGTAGGTACGAACAGAAGAAGCCTGCTGTCTGCACTTCCTGAATTTTATCCTCTCTGAGATGATATCAGTCTTACTGACAAACAGACGACATAAGACAGCTACTGTATCATCAACCAAAGTGGTGTCAGAGGGCTCTGTTTTCACAATACCTCCTGGGCACTCAGCTCTAAACAGTCTCCGCCCTTCCTGCCCAAGGCAGTGCAGGAGCAAGGCCTGCTGCCTCTCCTGACTCCATGCTGACCAACCTATGGCCATGGCATAAACTTCGAAGTCCGGAAACCAGTTATTCCACGGCACCACCGGCGGGCCTGGAAGAGGTAAGAATGCCGCGGGCGGACGAATTCCCTCCATACCTCACGTCTGGTCCGACTACCTCGTCGCCAATTGTAGTGTCGTCTTCCGAATCTCCCGAATCAGCAGTCCGCTCGTCAAGTCCTCACCAAATCCTCACAGTGCCAGCCCGATCCAACAAGTGTGTATTTTACAAAACTGAAGCTCCGACAACATCTCGGCCAAGGTCAACTGAATTCATGGTCGTTAAATCACTGCCGTTTAGTTTACTGCCAAGTTACTACAAACATCAAGTGGGAAGGGTGTGAAAACTGCCAGAAATGGTACCATGTGTCATGCATTCAAAGTGAAATGAACGATGCTACCGCAGTCGTGGAAGAGTACTGTGATTGTACCTGGTGAGAAGGAAAACCACACAAGACGTGAAGATGTGACCATTTGTGACATGTTTGGCTCCTTGCCAGTTGTGCTTGCCCACAAAAGTTACAGTTTGACATTTTTAAAGTGTTATTTTTAAGTGTTTTGTGACCACATGCGTCCGAAAGTGGGTGAATTGTGATCACTTTATGTTTTGAAGAAAAAAGACATCAAGTTTGCATTGGTGCAAAATGTTTTTTTTTAAACAAACAGACCTATCATAGACACCCCCATTGCTGTGCTTGTTTGACCAGTCAACTCATTTACAATGCAAATAATGAGGGGTATCATAGTCACCCCGACCTTGGTGTGACAATGATAATTTTTTAACCAAAAAAATAAAATATAAGGGAGTGATTTTAAATATTCAGATATACACCATCATGCACAGAATTCCCCATTTGGTATCTTAGAACAAACCCTGGTTCAAAATATCTTTTCAGATCTCCCCTGCATTGAAGAAAATAGCAAAAGTTTTACAAAGTCACCCCGAATGACGGTATGTGATACCTATTTTTCATTCATAATGATATTAAGCTGGCAGCTTAATCTGTACTTTGTTGTCTTAACTTTGTTGTCTCTTCATCTCTCAAAGTTTTTCATAAGGTTCCTTACAACTTTGGAAATGGGGAAGCAAATGTATGAATAATTTAGTCTGATTGACTATATTTGATGTTATTTGTAACTATTGCTTTTGTCTCTTCCAGTTCAGAGAGTAGCAGCAGTTATTACAGGCACCAAGAGCCAAAATGATGGAGGAGGTGGGTGGGGAGCCATGTCCTCCCCACCTTGGGCCGTCAGCAGTTGCAGAGGACCATGAGCTCACGGAGCCGACACCGTCACTGGCTGACTGCAGCCCGCTCAAGAGCCTGGGGCCAACCCTGCACAGCCTGCTGTTGGCAGACACCCACCTGCCGGCCAAACGGAGTGAGCTGGGCCTAACTGACGTCCATTACCTTGAGCCTCTTCCACTGGCTACTGTTGCTGCCCCAGTGGCTCCCGAGCCTACTGCCCAGCAGGCTCCTGCTGGTTGCTCGGTCATCATGGGCTACCTGAGTAAGCCTGACGAGCCAGGTGGACAGTCGCAGATGTCGGTCTCCACAGACACCGAGGACCCGGACGACCCCGCGGAACTGCCGCCGGCGCTGCCCGACCTCTCGCAGACCTGTCTGGTGTGCGGAGTGACGGCGGAGCGCGGGCGGGCGCGGTGTCTGCGGACGGCCGAGCCGCTGCCGGCCAGCGGCTCGGCCTACCTGTCGTTCGTCGGCGCGCTGCTGTCGGCCGAACTGGAGCCGGGCGCGCTGGATCGTCTGGAGGTGATCTGTCCCGACTGCCACGACCTGCTGGTCACCATTGACGACCTCGAGCAGCGCGTCGCCGCCATGAAGAACAGCGTGCGCAGCCAGTTCCGCGAGTGGTGGCGCGCCGCGGCGGACGACGCTGCCGGCGCCGGCCCGGAGCTGCGCCGCCGCGGCCGGCGCGCCGCCGCCGCCGGAGCCGGCCGCCGCCCGGGGCCGCAGCCGGACGCGAGGGGCACGGTGACGGAGGCGGACCCGGCGGCGGATGACGAGTACCGACCCAGCAAACGGCGCAAGGTCAGGAACGCGGCATGTAGGGGTTGGGGCTGGAAGAGGGCATGGTGAGCTGCATCAGGGCCACCGCAGCAAGCCCCAAAAATAAATCGTTCAAGTTCCACGTAATTGCAATGCCGGACATGGTCCGTCCCAGTGATTCCTTGACTGCATCTACGTGCAGTAGCTCCCACTATCTGCAACTGCATACCATCCGCGGATATTGAGTGCTGGGGAAAGCCAAAACCGATCTCTGACGACCGAGAATGTTGCTACTTGCTCCTGCCTTTGACACAAAGTTTGAAATCGACAAGCTTACTGATTGTAACTGGATCATTAAAAAGTTCTGGATCATTAAAGCTGATTATAATGTTATTCATTGCATTTCCATTTCCTAGGTACAGCCCACCGCTAAAGTAATGTAGGGTTTTACCAATCTCAACGGTTGGCTTTGACTGGCGATTGTTTAATGCGGAGTAATCGAAAAGAAGATGTCAATAGCTAAAGTTGCAGCTGCAAGGGTGACGATAGTTACATATCAGCTACATTCAAAGTTTCGTTGTAGTCTGGTTAATCGTTCCTAAGCTTCAGAAGCAGAACATACCCGTGACTGAAACCCCACATTACTTCTGCTGTGGACTGTACATAACAAACTTGTTATAATATTACGGCCTGAACTCTGAGAAAAACATGAGTGCTTACACTAACCCCTCACCGCAGAATGCTCCCAAGTCCGGTGCGCGGCGCGCCAAGTCTGGTATGGCGAGCGAGAGGAAGATCGCGAAGTCCAAGAACCTGGTGTGCACGCGGTGCCCGTTCTACACGTTCGACCGGGACGCGCTGCGGGCGCACATCGCCTCCGTGCACGCCGGTGAGAAGGCGCACAGCTGCGAGGTCTGTCACAAACGGTTCACCTACGAGGACTCGCTGAAACGGCACATGAACCAGCACCAGCACTTCATCAAGGAGTTCCGCTGTCAGGTGAGGCTGCTTGTTTTGAGTTTAACCACGACTAGCCGCTGCTTGAACTATTGTCGGACCGAGACGGTGCATCTGCCAGTTAGTGAGCTGTCCTCGACCTTTGGGATAGTAACGTTAGGCGATAGCTTCGGGAGTCAAGCTTGATGTTCGTGCGGAAAGGGAGGGACGAGGAATTGGACAGTGGCTTCGTTCTGGGTTCGTAACTTGATGTTCGGTTCAAGATTCTTTCAGATGTTTAGGTCTGTACCTGTTCTGTTTCGGTCAATGAGGTATCGAGATGTTATTGCCGTTCTATCGTCGTATCGTGTCAGTTCTTCCCAGCAGGGTTGTGCTCGACTAAAAAAAAAATTACCGACTCGACTCATCATTCAACTTCAGAAAGCCCTGCTGACTCAACTCTGACTCAAACAAGGAGCTGATTTTTTTCCCTTGACTTGACTCATGACTCAAGCGGCTCAATGAAAATATGAGTTGACTCAAACTTGACTCAAATTTTTTGTTGAGTCAAGTGTGTTGACTCAAAATTGACTCAGATGAAAAAGTTGTTGAGCGGAGGGGGGGGGGGGTGGGTGAAAAAATCCGGCAGCAGGGCCAGGCCTAAGTTGTTAAGCGGGTGAGAATGAAAAGCTTATATATATATATTGTTTCTAAAAAGATGAGTTCGCTGACTCATGTTCCTAAATGTGTTTGACTCAACTCCATGTCAAAAGTTATTTTACTGACTCAACTCTGACTCAACTCACCAGCTCAACATTTTATCCGACTCGACTCAAACCTGACTCATTTGAGTCAGAGTTGAGTCAAATCTCTGACTCGACTCATGAGTCAAGCACAACCCTGCTTCCCAGCTATTCACAATGGTCAGCCCAGCCAGGAATGAGACTGTTAAGAACCCTTTGGGCTCGCTGACCTCCCAATGCTCGATCAGGCAACATTCTTGTCCGTTTAAAACGCTAACGAGTTGTCCAGCTCTGGCTGATTATTTTCTCCATTCCGTCCCCGGCAGCCGTGCGGTGAGCAGTTTGTGAACCGGTCGGAGCTGCTGCTGCACCGTCAGCTGTACCTGCACGGCGCGCAGGGCTCCCCGCCGCCGCCGCCGCCGCCGGAGGAGCCCGCCGCCGCCGAGGCCGACTGCGCGCTCCAGTTCGCCTGTCCCGACTGCGGCCTGGTGCACACGCTGCGTGACTCGGAGCAGCAGCCCCGGCCGCCGGCCTGCCAGTGCGGCCGACAGATGGACATCGCCTCCGTGCTGCGGCTCTTCCCGAACGGCGGCGGCAGCGGCGCCTGCCTGGCGTGCCATCAGCCGTGCGACGGCCCCGACGCGATGGAGAGGCACCTGGCGGAGGTGCACGGAACCGGTGAGTCGCCGCCCGGCCGCCGCGGTGCCACGGGGATGCCAATCGGTTCGCTCACAGTGGGATCAGCACTCAGCAGCGATCGGTGCTTAGGCGATTTTCTTGGCCACTAAATCAAGGACTACACAGATAAAATACCGGATCAGAGGGGGTAATGTTGTCAGGACCTGCGCATTTGTGCAACTATCTCCGTTCATCACAGGCTTAGTCTCTGTCAAAAGTATTAAAACTTAAATTCCTTAAAAAAATGCAGCAAATGCCGGTGCCCATAGACCACCCAGGAACCATGTCGCTTGTCTCGCCACCTCCATGCGACGTTCATGACGCCCCTCCCCCTCCCCCGTTCCGCCCAGGCGACGTGGTGTGCTCGCTGTGCGGCAGCCGTTTCGCGCACCTGGACCATTTCCAGCTGCACGCGCTGTTCCACTCCACACTGGAGGAGTTTGCGTGCGAGCAGTGCCCGTTCCGCACGTACAGTCCGGCGCGGATCGCCAGCCACCGGCACGAGCCGGCGCCGGCCGCCGAGCGACCCGTCAGCGACGAGGCGATCGTGGCGGCGGTGCGCAACAACCCGCCGGGCCGACGCGGCCGTCCGCGGAAGGACGCGCCGCCCGAGCCGCCGGCCTTCCACCGGTGCCCGATCTGCAGCAAGGAGCTGTCGTCGCTGACCAACCTCAAGAACCACATGGTGCTCCATTCGGACGTGCATGAGCACAAGTGTCCGGTCTGCGAACGCAGGTGGGTGGGCAGTGAGGGGACCGAATGGGGTAGGCGGGGAGAGGAAGAGGGGAACAATGTCATGTGTTGTGATGGAGGTGTGTTGTGTTGGAGGTTTACGTGTCTTGGTGTTCCTTTAACAGTTGAATTAATAGTTCGACCATTTAAGTGATTCATCAATAACTTATCGGTCAAACGATGCCATCGTTTCCAGATGATAACTTCTTGAATGACGTTGAATCAGACGTCGTGCTGACTCGACGACATGCTTTTAGAGTCTTGTCGGTCTCTTGTCGAACTGTCTGAAACATTTTCGTCTGATCAACTTATGTCCAGAATGCCTCTGGATGATCGAGATATTTGCAATGACTCAAACACATTGAAACTGTGTCAAACACACTGAAACAAACACACTGAGACTGATTTGTTTCGGGCCTGGTTTTAAAGTTTTGTGCGACGTTTGCTGCAGATGAGCGACTATCATACACTTCAGTTACTGTCAGAAAACTATAAGCGTTTGTGTTCTTTTTGCAGGTTCAAGCTGCGAAAATACCTCAACACGCACCTGACGCTGCACACTGGCGTGCGGCAGTTCAAATGTACTGTATGTGGAAAAGACTTCAACCAGAAGTGTGAGCTCAACCGGCACATGCGCTACCACAACGGTGAGTCGCCGACGAGCGCTAGTTAGGTGGGTGTGCCTCCCGGGTATTGCCGAATCATGCAACTGCGGGGGCCTCACACGGGTATATTTCAGTTATCCGCCGGGGTTTCCGCTCGGCAGAGTGAGACGGCGCCGGCCGCCACGTGTGGGCCGTATTTTCCATATATCCACCGCGGTGGGCGGCTGCCTGATTGCGCCGGACCGAGAAATCTGCTTTGGTGCTCGTCGGCGTTTCGAGATGGACTCCTGATAGGCGACATTTATATCGAAACTTCTCGTCCCGAGCGGCGTCAAAGATGAACGTTTCGCATTTGCCTGAGTTTGGCGGCGCTTTGTTAAATTACTCAAAGTTCGCTTCTTAAAATCCATCGTAAAGCCTCTTAGTCAAAGTCTGAGGAAATGTTCATCGTCTTAGATCGCCTTAGCTGATTTTACGTCTGGCAATTTGGTGCGGCGTTCTCTAAGCTGGGGCTGTCTGGTGAAGTTAGCAGCGCTGGTCGTCATCTTTGTGGGGTGCCAGGTGCAGTGGCGCGTGGCGCCGGCACTGTGTCCGGGAAGAGCCGTGCCAGACCCGTCCAGTGGGGTCTGGGTTCTGTGCTGAGTACCCGAGAGGAGTTTTGAAAGTCGGGCATGTCAGTCTGTTCCTAACCCCAGATACATGACCTTTGTTCGCCAGGAGACATGACACATGTCTGTGAGTTCTGCGGCAAAAGGTTCAGGGAGGCCAACGGACTCAAATTCCACCTCCAGGTTAGTGGTCAGTAGTGAAGGAATTGTCATTACTTACCGAATGCTTACCAGTTTTTCTTGATGACTGTGATTAAGCTCTAAATTTGCAATTTATGGATATGTGTCGTGAATTTAATGTTAGCGCTCCGATTAAAGACGGCACACAACGCACATACTTCAAAACATTTAATGCCACCACTTGCCACTGGCTGAACTTGACTTTCTTCACTGTTCCATGGCGTGCCTGCGTTTTCAGACGCACACCGGGGAGCGGCCGTTCTCGTGTGACCAGTGCGGGAAGGCGCTGCGGAGCGCCTCCAAGCTGCGGGTCCACCAGCGCACCCACACTGGCGAGAAACCGTACAAATGTGAGTGGACCGGACGGCGTCAGACTGACAGAGTAGGACTGACAAACTGAGTCACAAAGTCAGACTGAGACTGAGTCAGACTGACACCCACACCGTACAAATGTGAGTGGGCCGGGCCTAGTGTGTCAGACTGACGTGTGAGACTGAGACTGAGTCAGACTATCAGATTCACAGACTGACAGACTAACCTGGACGCCGTGCGGCCGGACAGGGCCACAGCGGACATCCGGGTCGAGTGATTTCCCCACTGATGAACCAGGAATTGATATAGATTCTTATCATTGTGCAAATTCCGCATGGTCGGTTTGCTGATTAAATGATGTCTCAAGATGGTCGAATTTCATCTCACATGTAATCGTCTCAGTGACCGTAACCTCCATGATCCGTGTATCTCGAAATCCGGTCTAAATTTACACTGTGATGCGTCTGTCTGTCATGCGGAGCGGTCGTCGCTGTCCGGACCGCCGTCGGTGGACGGCGTCTGGTCCGGTCCGAGCGCCGCTCCGTTACGATGGGAACGGCCGGCCGGTGTGGAGGGCTGGCCGGCCGACGGATGGGCCTATATGCCGTGCCGGTGACCCGTGTGCCCGCTCCGACCGGCCGTGGTGCCGTGTGGACGGTCGGGTGGATAGGGGGCTGTGAGCAGACTGAGAGGGAGACGTGTCCACTTTGGACAGTGATGAGGAGATGGGATATGTTTGAGACAAACTCGACGGAGGGCGGAGATTTGACGCGTCATGACGACATCTCACCGAACAATTCAAAGCTGTCGTAGTCACGACCACGGTCGTGAATATGCAGCGGATGATGGGCTGATGGTGTGCCTCTGATCCGGGTTACCTTTGGTGTGTTACCTGCCGCCCGCCCGTTGCTCCGCCCTCGCGGCACGAGGTTAAATCGGACCGGGATCGAACGGCGCACGCCCCCGCAGAGTACAGAGACCACCGGTGTGCCACACCACCCGCTCCGGCTCACCGCAACGGGCCCTCTGCCGGCCGGCGGCCCTGCAACTTTAACGACGCCTATCGACTGACGGGCTGGCCGCCAGGACGCGTACAAGTTACCCGCGGCGCGCCGAGCGGGCCAGATTGGTCGGACTCTGTCGGCGCCCAGAGCTCACGCGGAGACTTAATCTTCGTTAGTCCGAGCTAATAGTGCCGCGGCCGTGGAGTTCACACGGCAGGCGCTGACGTTAGCGGACCGCTGCGTGGGGAAGGATTTTAACGAGTTCGGACGATTATGGAATGCGCCTCAACGAAAGTATAACCAGTATAACGCCTTATGGGGCGACTAACGGAGCGAGCGAGAGGGTGGGCCTTGCACGTGCGAAATTTCGAGGGGGTACCTCCAACTGACTTGTGCACGGCACCCTACTAACCGGTCTCTAGCGATGTGCCAAATTTGAGCACAATCGGCCCAGCCGTTCTCGAGATCTGGAAGCGGCACCCTGCACGTGCGCACGTGCAAAATGGGTCCCAACTGACTTGTGCACGGCACCCTACTAACTGGTCCCTAACCGTGTACCAAATTTGAGCGCCATCGGTCCAGCCGTTCTCGAGATCTGGAAACGACCCCTGCACGTGCGCACGTGCAGCAGCACCCCAACCTTAACACATGCAGATGAATTATCTGATGGAGACCTAACTGTGTACCGAGTTTCAATTCAATCGGCCCAACCGTTGTGCCGTTATTGAGGTTGCAATTTTGGGGGTTCTTAAAAAATGTCCAACTTTACCACGCGCCACGTGCGGTGGTTAGCAAGAACGCATGGTGGCCATCACACCACAGAACTTTTACGTCCAAGTGACATTCAGTAAAGAAGACCGCTTGTCAATCGGATGTCCCGTTCCTAAGATATTAGCTTTTGAAGAGCGTCCCCACGGCCGGCCGGCCGGCCGGCCGGCCGCTCATACTCAGAAATTTCCGTTAATCTAAGGAAAGACTCCGCTCGCTTCGCTCGCTCCGTAATGAATAGGAACATGTTTCGAGATGGGGTCATGGACATAAGTGTCATCCCGTCATGCGAAGCTAGCGGACTGCAAATGCCAGATTTATTACTTTGTGGATTTTGTTCTCTTCTCGGGTTAATTGACAAGTCCCTGGTTGGTGTTAAACCACGCACGCAGCATGACACTTAGATTCTTTTGCTTTGCAATTACGAAAGAGTCACGCGCCTCGTGCTTAATCGATGTATTCTTCAAACATTAATCTCAAATAAGCTTCGTTCCACTGTGTCACCGTTCATCATTACCCCATTGTTTTATTACGCCGGACCAGCTGGCCTGTACCTTCGGAGTTTGTTTTATTCTCGGCTGGCGCTACCCAGGGTTCGTTACGACATGCCGGTGGGCGCTTTAATCTGGTTATTGACTCCCGGCTGGAGGGGCCCTATCCGTCCCAATTGTACGGCCGGAGCAGCAGCCAGCGCCGGAGGTGGTCTCCGATATATCTACGGTCGGGACGGGATAGGTACTGACGTTACGACGGCGCTAACCTGTGACCACTCTAACATCAAACGGTTCTCGAATCAGGGCTGACAAAGCGTTGTGCGAAGTTCTTGATGCGAATTTGATATGCATCACGTAGATCCCGTGTGGTTTATCATGATCACACGAGTTACGTGACTTGACTTTTTAAGTGACGATATTTTGCCTCCTGCCGTATCATCCGCATTCCGCATACCGCAATGTTGTGTCTTTTTGTTGTATGACTATAGTTCGTTTTTTTCTAAGCTCGACTCTCTCTGTAAACGTTTCTTTGAACACTGCACGATAATTTTTGTAATGATAAGAATTGCACGAGAATTGCTCGCTGACTTACTGAGAAAACTGGTCGGCGCACATTAATTTCACAGACGGTCAACTTTTATCAAAATTATTTCTACCTGGCTCCCACCTCCCAGACTCTCAGCTCGTAGGTGCCTATATTTACAATTCCACAGGTATAGACGACTTGTTAAAAATGATGTTTGCAGTGAGGGTCGAACTTAAAAAAGAACCATCGTTGGTTACCCGATGACCAAACACTTTATCCCGCTTCCAGGTGAATACTGCGGCAAGGATTTCGCCTACAAGTACAACTTTGACTGTCACCTGAGGCTGCACACGGGGGACCGGCGCTTCAGGTGGGTTCCGGTCGGGACGGGTCCGTTTGACCTCACCTGACCCCTCCCCCCGGCGTCGGTCGGGGTGCGGTCGGCCGTCTCATTATACTCGCTCGTTTATCGCTGGTGGGGCTGTGCGGCGCCGGGCAGTGTCAGGACTAACGAGGGCCTGACGGACGGCCTCACCGGCGCCGGCGCCCGCTCAGACAACGGTGGACCCGAGGTGGACAGTGTGTGGATGTTGGACACGGGTGGACCGTAGTGGACCGTTTGTGGCTACGGGTGGACCGGTGGCGGAAAGCGGTGAATATTTGGTGAACCCATGGTGGACCTATTTCAAACTATAACAAACTTCTTGAATTTGCGAGGTGTGACTGTCTTCTGAACGAAGATGAATAGCTAGTATACTCCATTTGCGATTTTATTGAGACCTTTCCATCCCATTTGTAATGTTTATCGCCCTGTAGGTAATTCAGAGTGAGCTGTCTTCCTCCTCCCGTTGCCGTTATGGATTGGGGAGGCGGTCGACGAAAAACTGAGATTTATTCATGCGTTTTTGGTATCGGATAGAATCATCCAAACATTTATTTCTGTTGAAAGCAGTTCTGAATAGTTAATTGGATGTCGGCGAACTTTATGATAGCGGTTTATTTGGGAGTTATTAAGCCGAACTTGTGGTAAATGGACTCCTTGCCATCGAATTAAGCTCCATTTGATTTGGTTCGCTGAGGGAATTCCGCTCCGATATTTTCCAGACTTCTATGGCATTGTGAGCCGCCCACGCGGAATATTTTGATTGGAAGTGGCATCGCACACGTCCCCGCTGAGTGGCACTGCAGTACTGCACGGCCGACTTGTTAGCGCGCTTTGTGCGGAGGTTTATGGCTTTTTGCTTCGTCTTTTTATCCGCTCTTGCTCATTAGAGTTTCCTCATAACTACCGTATTTGTTCTTTCAACAAGGACGGCTCTCTGACCCGTTTATCTGTCGTCTTTGAGGATGTCTCGTCTCCAGACGATCAGCCGGGTCTCGCTGCTCCCGGGGCGCATTATCCCTGGCACGCACCACTGCACCGGCGCCGAATCTCCGGCTCAAATTGTTGGGTATTTCTGCCACTTGTGCCGCCGGGAGCGATCCATCAGCTCGGCTTCAGCCGCTTCACAAACGTGTTCTTTCGGCGGTGAACCGAAGCTTTGGCGAGATTCCGCCATAAATTGGCGGAATCTTTCCGTCTCCAGTGGCTTCTGAGCCATTTTGATGGATGATCGCTTTGTCCCGCGGCGAGTCCCGAGTCGGCCCTCCAGCAGAGAGTTGACAGATATCGATGGATCTCGCTCTGAAGGAGCTTGACCTTTCATCAGCTGAGCTGCCGGCAACTAGTCGCCGGACAGGTCAGCCATCCGTTCACACGGCCGTGACAGCGGCACCCTCGTCCCCGGGATTCTCGTGTGGTGATCGTACGACGGCCTTCCATCCGCGCACTGATCGACTGAAGTGAGCCCGTGCACACGCTCCCTCCTCCTCTACACGCTGGTGAGACAGGATGAGCGCAGACGATGGAGACTGAATGTGGTAGGTGCCGGGAGAGAAGAGGGTTGATTGGGGATCAGAGGGTGGCATGCCGGGCTGGAGGAGAGAGGGGCTGTATCGTGTTCGCTGTGTGGAGCATGGTCCGAGTGCCGAGTGCGACCCTTTCCGCATAGCGGAGAGAGGAGAGATGAAAGATGAGAATCATATCAATGAGAGGAGAGGAGAGAAGGGGAAAAGTAAACGAGACTGGGCGTTCGCCGTACTCATGCTGTTATCAAGTGCTCGAACTGAGTTTTTGCGATCCTGCAGCGTATCTCCCCCCTGGCCCGTTCCCAATAAGTTGCGGCTGTGATGTCCAGACCCCGCTTTTCCACCTATCAGTGGAGTGACCACTGAGCGTCCTGCCGGCCACCCCGACTGGGGTGACGCGCCTTCGTGCCGCGGGTGGTAGCTAGCCTCCCACGTGTTCCACCAGCCACTATCGGTGTGATATGAGGCTCAGTCTCACGGGCACACAGGGCGGCAGCCGCAGCCGACGGGAAACCACCCGAGAGAGAGAGAGAGACCGGCCGCCTCACGAAACACAGAACTGCTTCCAGATGATGTTAAATTATTAACGGGGAGACTGAAGAGCTTTTCTAGAACTCCATTGCACTTACTTTTGAATCAGGCGTTATGTGAAGTGACGGCCTAAATCTGGTGTTTTCCGTATCATGCTACCCAAATGGCCATTAGTGGTATATTGCTATTGGATACACGGCAACGCTTTTCTTACTTATTTCTAAGCATTGGGCTCTGCACACATGTTATTTTTATTAAATTAATGCTATCTTATATTACGAGATGTGATCGTGAAAAAAACTGAAAATATAAACAAATAGAATAGATACATTTGATGCTAAGCGTGGTAACAAGGAGACAGCTCGTTTTTACATCGCTTATGTATTTCCACGCTTTATTTTGTTTTACGTTATTCGTGTTCATGTTGCGGACGGTTTTTAGCCCCGGCCGCTCACTGCACCGGCCGTGACCCTCCATAACTCGGCCCCCTGACCCGCCATGCCCTCTGTGGCCCCGCCCCTGACCGGCTGTCCCCGCCCTCGGCGCGCCCTCTGTGGCCCCGGCCCTGACCGGCTGTCCCCGCCCGCGGCGCGTGTCTGTCCGCAGGTGCTCGGTATGCCAGACCGGGTTTGAGCGACGCGACAAACTGAAGGCCCACGAGCAGTCATGCTCGCGGCGGATGGCGGCGGCCGCGGCGGCTGCTGCGGAGGCGGCGGCGGCGGGGGCGGCCGCCCACCCGCCGCCGCCGCCCAGCGAGCCGCACCCGTACCCGTGGTCCATGGAGGCGCTGGAGCCGCACTGACCGTCCTGCGGCTCCGGAGGCGCTGTGTCGGTGCGCTAGCTACCTCTGCGGCGTGCTGACTGCCGGCCGGGTCCGACTGTCACTCCCAGAGATCACCTGCGGGCTGGTCCTCCCGACAGCACAGGGCTGGGTGACGCCGCCACCCCAAACACACACCGCTCGAAGGAAGGGCTTATGTTTGTGGCAGTTCGGTGATGACTTTATACAGGCCACCGGGCTGGGTGTGATGTGTGTAGTGTGCTACGCTGTTCTCATGACCACATTTCCATATTAGGACTGTCGGTAGTTGAACTGAGTGACATTGAAAGGATTGGGGACTACGTGGGCTGTGAGCTTGCATTCGTAGTGATCATTTGTTGTTACATGATCAACTGTAGTGCTGAATGCATCGTCTATCTATGGAGCGTATCACAACTAACTAATCGTGTCCGATCAATGATTTTTTCTCTGCATCTCTATCAGGTATTATATTGTCGATGCATATGAGCCGACCGTGATCCATGACTCAGCCATTTATGGCAGCTTTTTCTGTGCATGTACCCATGATTGTATCGTTTCCTGTGGGCTACTTATTCCGTGTGTATCACCGTACCCACGAGACCTCTCAGTATGGCGCATGTTTATCCGTTAGCCTCAGCACGACAGCGGAACACGCCGGGCTCAGTGTACGTACCGCTGTGAGCCGATCTCGCAGCCTCAGACTGTATTCTGTCACATTTCCGTCCGCCAAACCGCCGTCACGGGGCTCATCGGCCCTCGTCTAACCGTACGTTCGTACCTCACGCACGAGTCGGTGGCCGTCGCCAGCCTGTGCCCCACTGTTGGTCCAACCCGTGTGTGACGCCAGCCCAGCCCAGCCCACGGATACTTACGGGCCAGTGGGGTGGACCGGAAGGCGCTGATTGGTAATCTGATACCATCGGCCCGGCCCGACCGCCTTGTTCGGTATCACCTGTCTGATATTGACGCGCTGTCTATGATACCTGACGTGGTTTGTATGACCGTCTTGTTGGAGCGTCGCTGGTCGCTGTGGTGTGTCTGAAGTAACTTTCCGTGGCTTGGCACTAATATCTATGCGTCTAACGGGCGGTGGAGGGTCCATGCTACCTCTTCCTGACCTCACTGGATGCCGTGTGGCGGCGCTGTTACCCGGCGGGAAGAGGGATGGAGACATACGGGGGGGGGGTCAGAGTGGGAGACATCAGGGACGGGTGGGAGGCAGAGTGGTTGGGTTGGGAAGAGATCTGGTGACCTGGTGAACAGAGTGTTCCGCGCTGTGGTGTGACCGACTGTTAGTGACCACTGTTGCGACTGGGTTGGAGGTGAAGGGGGGGGGGGCAGAAGGTCTGTGGCTCTCCATTGCGGCGCTCTGGCGCCTGGCCATTGGACACTAAGAGAGGGGGGGACGACAAGTGGTCCCATCTGAACGCCGCTGTTAGAAAACCGGCCAAGGGCTACTGGGCTAAATTACAGCTGGTCTGATGATATGGGTCGCGGATGGTGTCCGATTATTCCGTATTTGATCATGTTGATGGCTACTGTCGATGTGCATGGCTCTATGAATTCAGCCATAAATTGACCGATGTCGGTGAAGTGATGTGTACACAGTGAGGCGGCGCTCTCCGTCCTTGCCCCCATCCCGTGCGGTAGGTAGTAGGTACTGCCGCCACTGGGGCCACTGAGAGCACTAATGGGCAGGCCGCCGCCACCTGGGCGGCCTGCCGGCTGAAAGCAAAGTTTTAATGCGCGCCGAATGCCGGCTGTTGTACTTTGTTCTCCTGTTTGCGGATTGTGCGCTGAAAGTCGGTGAAACGTATTTATATGTGCCCAAAGTTGCTGCCGCGGAGTTGCCGCCACGTTTTGTAATAAACTCATCGGACGGTGTCGGTGTTTTCCAGCGGAGCCTGGGAGCCGGCAGGGCGGACGAGTTGGGATGCTCTGCGGGGCCCGTATTATCCGCGGCCGGCCGCCGCCGTCTGCGCCATTTAGATGTGACATCTGGCCAGCTCTCGGCCATTATCTAAATTGATTTGATTCTTGGGCTTATTTCCGTTTACTGCGTGAAAAGTTGGCTGGTCGGGTGATGAAAAACACCAGAGCGGCGCCGTAATTGAATTGGATATAACTCATTTCTGCTATCTGATAGATTGGAGCATCTCGAGCAGAAAAATGTCGGCTGAGTCGCGCCACCAATCGTCGACGATGCGGCAAAGTTGGCGCCGCAACTACCAACAACCAGCTACCAGAGCTGGTTGGCTGATGGCAGGCGTGTGTGTTGTCTGGCAGTGGTGTGATCTATGGCGTGACATAGACACCAGCGACAGAACTCTGATGCGACTTGAGACGAGAGTCCAGAGATGACGGTGCAGAGTTGGGAAACTCTTGTTTTGGAGAGGATACTTCAGCATTCTGACACGTTTCCTGCTTTTGACTTCTAGCTGCAAGCTTTTTTATTTTATTTTTTAGCTTTAGTCCGAGCGGACATTCGTGGCTCACGGCCTGAACATCCGGTGGTATCGGAATGTCACTGAGGTGGTTGACGAATGAATTAATCGGTTAGCCCTGTGTTTGGTTGTTATCACGAGCGATCCACATTCCACACACAATTTACAGCGCGCTTAACGCTTAACCCCGTGGTGTATAATGCGTTCCCCCGAGGTAGGGTGCACCAATCCGCCATTGTTCCAGCCTGCTCGCCGAGAAGTCCCCCCCCCCTTGCTCTCGAGCCCGGCATTTGGCGCACATTTGCATCTTGTCTCCGGCGCTGGGAACAATGCGTGCACTGGTCCGTGGGCGTCGGGCGCTAATGTTTTCCAGTGCGTCGCGCTCGCATGCCGCTTTAACTGGGCGCCTCTGACGGGCGGAGAGCGGTCCGCAGTGACCCGGTCCGTCAGGGAACGCCGCGTAACGCCCTCACCATGTCCGCCATAATATAGACGGGCACGAGCCACGATAGGTCGGCATCGACACCATTAGCAGCTCAACGCGACGGCACTGACAGGCTAACGTGATTTGATTTATTTATGTTTATTTTTTTTATTTATCTGGTATTTGTATCATGATTTCTTTGTGAAGAAATAGGTATAGCCAGTTTTTCGCATTGGCTTTTCCCGGGTATAGAACGAACTACTGCCCTTCTTCTATCGCCCGATCGGGAAATTCTGGTCTAATAGGTACCAAAACTTGGGTCAGGCATTCAACACACGTCACAGGGATAAGCCGCACACGGGCTGGGGTATTTCGCCACCCACCGTTTGTTGGGGGGGGGGGGGCGTTAAACGCCCCCAGCCGATAACTCGAGAACCAATAGGCGCAGCGAAACGCACTAGGCGGCAAACGAAAGAACGCGACGAGACGCTTCAGATGAGTACTTGTTTAATTTTGAGGTCACAGGTCGGGTCAAGGTCAGGTCAAACACCTGAAATCGGACTTTCAGTAGCATGGACTTCAGAACTTCGCAATGGGCGCCTCTCGTCATAAACTCTGTCAAAACGGTGCACAATCCATCATATAAGGTCTACAAGAGTCATGGTCGTCAAGAAAGTCAAGAAATGCGTCTATCATGGTCATGAAGTAGGTAGTCACGAGAAATTGCCAAGATTCAGTTCACGATTTTGGGAAATGCGGAACGATAATCAATAATCGAAGATAGCCATTTGATTGTTCATGGTATTGGCAGTCTAATGGCGTTTACGGCATGTCTGTATGTCTATTCTGTGATTTTATATGATTTTTTGAACATATAGGTATCGTTTTTTGTCGAAAACTCAGAAATCATGACGTCACTAAAACCTCGATATCTCAAAAAAAAAAAATCCGACCAATTTTTTTAAAAATTTTGTCACAATAAACTTCCATCAATTCCCTACAGGTACCCAAAATTTGGCGCGCCTTCGGCGCGCCGTTTTTATACTATGGCCCGGCGAAAAAAGTGGGGGCGTTTAACGTCCCCCCCCCCAGCAACTCGCGGGTTAACATTTTATCTCGTTCGTGGCTGCCATTGATATGATGTGACGCGGGACGTCGGCAAAAGAAAGAGCTACATATAAGCAAGTTACTGAATGCGCTTGCCTCTTTTCTGCGGCGCTGGAGTTATTTCGTTGAGGCCATTTGCCGAAAATAATAGGATAAATTTGGCCATCAATAACCTCTGGTGACTTGCTTTTTTATCTGACTTGGCTTAAATTGAGTGAGTTAATTTCTCAGTAATTTGTTACGCCCTTTCGAGTGCCGCATTCGCATACATACCGCGTGTCATGCATCGCCTACAAGAAGTCGAATTAGACGAGGGGTGTTTGACCCCTCTCCCCCTCCCCGGCCCGGCAAAAGTGCCGCCGAGTGGTTACCGGTCCGGCGCTGTGTAAAACCGTTGCAAAAGACATAGGTATCGGAGTCTGACGTTAGCACCTGCTGAAGCGTTGCCTGTCATATGTATATCATCTTGACGTCATCCGATTAGTAGACCGGTGATTGGCTGGGTCCGATTAGACCAGACGCTGCCACTTGCCGGGCTGATATGACCTGATACGGCAAACCTCACAAGCACCACACAGTGTTGTTGACTGTTGAGTGGCAAGGTGACACGGTTATGAATGACAGTGTTAAGTGATGGCGCGGATATCGCCTATTGAGTAAGTTCGTTATAAAAGTAAAATTCTTGTAGGAGCTCCATTTGATATCGACAGGAACAATTTTTGCGCCTTCCGTCGCCTTACGTTGCAGATATATCTTAGCATAGCTATTAGCTACCAGCATACTTACTAAATTCAAGCGGGCTCTGGCACGGCCACCGCCCTCACTTTTCACGCTTTAACGGTCGTCCAAAACAGGAGAATGGTTTAACCCTCGCCGGACCTATTGGTTTTCTACATACCTACGCGCCGACCGAGGGGGGGGGGGCGGATACTTTCCCCCCTCGCCGTTTCGCCCCTGGTAGAGCTAGCGCGTCGCAGAAAAAAAAAACGAGCGTGAGTGCCGTTACAAAACACATAGATTGATACCCGATTTCAAGGTCCTAGGTCAACCGGTGACATCTGAGGTCAGGTCAAGTGCCCTAAGGTACGGATCCGTTTTTGGTGAATAACTTCGCAAAAACCGGCCGCAGAGACGCGATTTTGGCAGCATCGTGTTCGCCTCGCTCAGGCGCGTCGAATGATATACTTTTTGTTTGCGTGAGGTCAACTTTGGGTATTGACCTCAGGTCACGGTCAGGTCAGCGCCCCCAGGTCACGAACTTAGTTGACAGAGGTCATGTCGTCAAAAAAAGTCAATTTTTCAATTGATAATGTTTGACATGAAAATGCACTTTTTTAGACCAGCTTCGTCCCAGGAATCTAATTCTGCCATTTGTTTTCACATGCGATGTTCAGAAGTGCCTCAAACTCACGAAAATGCGTATGATGTCACCATGCCCTAAACATGTTGGAGCTATTTTTCTACAACTTGGGGGTCAAAAATCAAGATAGAAAGTTGCAATTTGGGACATCTCATGTTCTAATAGAGCTCTATAACATATATTCCGTTTTTTTTAATAAAAAAAAATTATTAGCTGTTTTCCAAAAAAAAACATAGCTTTTTGAATTTTTAGGGGTCAAAAACGCACTTTATGGGAAAAGCGAGATAGCCATTTTAAAGAACTCATTGAGCTGCGTCTTTTCATGTCTTTAATTTGCAATTTGCTAAAACCATTGATTTTAGGCGATTTTTCAAATATTTACCATTTTTTGACGAAAAAAGCCATATAGCTTCATCAATAAAATGGATATATCTCACTTTTTTTGGAAAAATTGCATTAAAATTTGACAAAAGTCGTCAAATTGATGAAGGAAAAGGTATACGAAGTTTCATGATCTTGGTTTCAAGTTGATAGCGTAAGCGGTTCGTGAGTTATTTGCGAAAAACCGAGGGGGCCCCCCTCGGTTTTTCGCGAATCGGTCCGCTCGACCCCCTATACAGGCGATGCTTGAGCTTCGACGAAATATGCCTTGGTTAAGGTCAGTGAACGTAATAATTGTATTAACCCGCGCCCGGCTGGGGCGGTCCTGGATTTCCACGCCCTGCTGGGGGGGGGGGGGTGTTTGAACACCCCCTCTTGTAACTCGGCTCCTGGGCCACATAGCGATACGCGGAAGGCGGCGTTCGAAAGAGCGTCAAAAATAATGAGGAAATCACTTCGGTCAATTTTTTGGTCAGGTCAAAGGTCAGGTCACCAGAGGTCATTGAAGGCAAAATTTCGCCGATTTCCAGGTCTAATGTCGAAAATTTTCAAGAAGCCAACGCATAACTCGGGAACCAATAGAGCTACATCGCCGCGGAAAAGCGCATTCGATAGCCCTATTAACCCTCGCCCGCACATGGGGGGTGGTTGCCACCCCCCCCCCCCCAGGTAGTCTTTCTGCTCTGCACTCAACATTTTTAGAGCTAGAAGGCTGATTTTTCGTATAGCTGCTCCTCTATCCTTTCTTGATGTCCACTGAAAATTTCAAGTTTCTGTGATTTTTGGTTTCGAAGATATGACCTTGTTTGTCAGGTCATGTCATGACCCAAATGGCCAATTCTCAACATCTTGCGTTTGCCATGGGCCTTATGAGCTTTTGACACCCTGATTTCGGCCTTTTTTGCCAGTCTTACCTCCCACCTACCATGGAACATGTTGTTCGACGATGTACAGGGGTCAAGGTCAGGGTCAAGGTCAACCTAGGTCATCTAAGATAATTGCGTTTTAGGCAAGCTGAATTTACTTTTTTGAAGTTTTTTGACTGCATTTTTGGTAAAAGCTTCTCAGATCATGATTTCATGTAATATGGACCCAAAAACAATCGGTGCACACATCAGTATACACACAGACACACACAGACATACAAACACATATAATTGACCTTGACCTAACTTGACCTGAAATGACCTCAGCAGCAAAATTCTGGTCGGGTAGTGTGACAAAGAGGTTCTAGCTGGCTTGGCACCAGAAAACAGCATCGTCATCGGTATTTGATAAGCAGCACACTTGATATCCAACGGTGACCCAAAACAGCAACATTTTTTAGTTTGACCTGACCTGGAAGGTCAATGACTGGCCTGAGAAGGTAAAACTGGGTATCATTGGATTCGTCTCTTCCCAAAGAATCTTTTTGGTCTTTACCGCTAAGCTCTATCTCCAACAGGAACGAAATGGCGCGGGGGGGGGGGGTGGCAACCACCACCCCCCCCCCCATGTGCGTTCTAGGATGGGAAAATGGCATGTGCGGGCGAGGGTTAACGCCCTTTCTGAGTAATTTTCTCAGATTTGACCTAACGCCAACGGTTTTGCCTGCAGGGGGCAAAAACTGCAAAAATAGCAGATTTTTTTCCGAAACAGTTTTTCTGCAATAACTTTTGACCCAAGCCTTGTACGAGCTTACTTTTACCGGCATCGTGTTCCTCTCGTCAAGACGCATCGAATGAACTATAACTTGACCTTGAAAGGTCAACTTGAAAATTTGACCTCAGGTCAAGGTCATGACCTGACCGGAAAGGGTCATGTTGCATATCGGTCGATCCGTATCGTCGAGCTGAACACACCTAAGGCGTTTTCATCGCTCTAGCATGCCTTTATCAAAAGTTATTTGCGAAAAACTGTTAGATACCATTCGTGACCTAAGATGACCTCAGGGCATAAACAAGGGTCACGGACACCATTTTTATGTTCAGTGTGTCTAAACCACTTGTAATTCGGTATTTGGGAGTGTTTATAATGTCTTTCGTCCAAACGAGGCGCATTTCAATTTTCTCTCACAGACTTATAACTGGGAGGTCGCAAAATTGACCTGACCTTAGGTCATCGATATCGAAATTCTGAGATATACATTTTGTACATGCCCTTAGCCCTTAGCAATCGCTGAAAGTTTCAAAGCGATCGGTCACTCGGTGTAGCTATGACAGACATTGAAACTTTTTATGAGGTGAGGTCACTTCAAGTGACCTGGTGACCTGACCTTGAATGACCTTGGTCTGAAATTTTCACAACATGTGTAGAATTGATGTATGTGCGCCGCCGTTTTTGAGATATTCGCGAAAAACCACAAGGGGGGTGTTCAAACACCCCCCCCCCCCCCCCAGCAGGGCGCGGGTTAACCAGCATACAGGCGTTAAAGCATGATTTTGAGACATGTAAATTGTAATGTCAACTCCGACTCCAGAGTCTGAGTCGGCAAAACTTTGACTACTCCGACTTCGACTCTGCAGCTTTACGTGGTGGATACGGTGGCTAAAGGTGGGAGCGATCTAATCCACAAGTGCCAGCGTTTTTATATAATATGGAATTCGCATGCAGATTGAATTCGTCTCATTTTTCTTCTATCTCCCTTCCTTTTACAGGATACGCAAAGAAGAAAGGTGATGGCCCATGTTGCTGCAGCCTTGAGGGCGGCTTGGAAATGATTGTTGGCATTTGATCTGTGAAAGCCGAGAAAAAAACGGTGACAACAGCAAGATGTCAATGAAGTTTTTATTTTTTCTCTTCTGTCTTTGCGCTGCCTACCGCATTTTTGTAGCAGTCTTTCTACATCCTACCAGCAGCCGCAATCCATCATTTCCGTCTTCGTCCGCCATCACCAACTTTCGTTACTTGTTTACGGCTCTGGTATTGGTCGTTACAACTGCCCTGTTGAAATACGTCTTTGCCCACCGTCACCGACTATCGCTGCTCGCCGTGTCGGCTCTCTCCATTCCCGTTCTGTATATATTTGTAGACTTTATTTTCCCTAGTGCTCCACCGCCGCCGCCAGTAACGGATGGCAGGATATATTTTATTTTTGGTGCGTATCTGGTCCTTCTCATCTTCACTATCGGCCTACTCGTTTTTTGTCGTCGTTTCTGGTTTATTACAGTTGCATCCGCAACCCTTGTCTCTATTTTCATCAATTACATCTACTCATGCTTTGCAGAGACTCCTCCGCCACCATCATATTCCGACGCCTACTCCTCACCATCCACATTTTACAATCCAATCAGTTTGATTTTTGCTCTCATATGCTGCTATCTTCTTGGCCCTTCATTCGCAAAAGGATTAACACCGGAAAAGGTAAGTCGGTTCTGTCTACAACGCTGGCATCAGGCCTGGAAGAGTGGTGTGGCTCAGGTTTGATTGCTTATATGCTTACAGCATTTGTTATGTTGGCATGGTGTTAACACTTAACAGCCCCCACGGACTGCACAACAGATAACATATTTCCAGTTTGTGTGTGTGGTCCCCTGTATCATAAATATTTCCAGTTGTAACTAGGCTTCCCGTTTCATGGTCTTGTTTCGGTCTCTGTATAGATGAGCAGATGATAAGGTGTATATTTGCAAAAACAAATACAGATATTCAAGGTAGGTTTATCGCACATAGCGGACAATGATATAGCATATTGGGATGAACGCGTTTCGTCAATTGACTTTTTCAAATACCTACTCCTTAGGGAAAAGCTAAGCATGTGCTTGTGAGTAACTCATGAGGCATCTATGTAGTTCACGTCGTTTGTAAATATGATGCATGCCCAATGCACATCCCGGTCGTTTCCAGAGCAGGAGCACGGTTGATGCCGGGGTCGGTACTGACCCGGAGGACCGCTCTGACCAGCCGGCCCGGACCCTGGCCGGAGTCCGGCAGGAGCTGCACTGCCCCGTGTGTCTGGAGCTGCTCCGGAGAGCCACCACCCTGGGCTGCGGCCACACCTTCTGCAGTGGCTGTCTGCAGAAACACCGCGATGCTTCCTGCAGCGGGCATGTGTGCCCGCTGTGCCGCAGACTGATCACAGCAGAGGTGATATCAGTCACTATTGAAAACGTCATCCGTAAAATGGATGCTGAGAGAAGCGATATCGAGACTGGTGGATAAACTCTCGTGCAGTGACATTGTTAATACGATACCACCGTTGTAGATAATCAAGTGCTTCCTTCCAGTGACCTCAAGTGAATGGATAATCAAATGTCTTGTTGTGCACTATCATGAACACACTCTCATGCAACACATGGTTTGTTTTAGGATAAAATGCTTGATCTAAACCTGTGATTGCGCATTATCTCTGTGATAGAATCTGAATAGTCTTTCAGTGGTGGCATGTCAAGTCTCCCTGGCATGGATGCATTGTTCAATTTGATGGGTGACACTTCCAGGGCTGTACCAGGGGGCGGAACTCATTGACATAAGAGAGGATGGGATACCGCTTGAGACCGATTTTCACTCGTACATACATCAAGGGAGAGGAATGAATAAAGTCGCTCAGTCGTTTTATCTACTTCTTTCGCTTGGCGCAAATAGCATATACCACCACCGCTTCACAAAGATGTTAGTATAAGGTTTTAAAATCGTTAGATCACCGCTGACGTCACAAATTCTAAGGGGGCATTCCAATGCATTAGCCCCTTAGAATCCGAAAACTGCAAGTTTGAAATTCCATGTCTCCAAATTAAAGCATTTTTCGATGTTGTGAGTGCCCAAACCGGTATTTTCAGGCCATGGCCACCAATTTGGCTATTTCAACTCAAAAATAATGCTAAGGTGGGATGGTCACTTTAAGGTGGGATGGTCACTTTAAATCTGAATGTCAGAAAGAGCTTTGAAAAGGAAAAGACTATCAAATGCGCTCTTCCGCGGCGCTAAAGATTATTATTATTATTATTATTATATTATTATATCGTTTATTCCACTAACCACGATCATCGGGTGGGCGTTACAGTGGAACATTGCCAATTCCAACACATCTGTTCATGCAGTAAACAATGATGGTTGGTACGTTTAACGGTACACTGCAGGGCATATGCGAGCACATCCGCACACATTGCCAATTCCAACACGTCTGTTCATGCGGTTAACAGTGATGGTTGGTACATATAACGGTACACTACAGGGTACATACAAGTACATTCGCACACATTGGGTGAAACGTGGTCATCAGTTGTCAGTGTTTGCTTTTGCTAGGAGGTACTTTTTCAGTTCAAATTTTGAGGCATTCCTCATTCTAGTGGGCAAACTATTCCACAATTTAGAGCCATGATATGACAGTGAATATTTCATAAAATCTGTTCGCGGAGCAACCAGATCTAGGTTCTCCGACTGTCTTGTCTCACGGTCAGATCTTCTAGTTATAAAGAGCGAGGATATCAAAGGTGTTGTAATCTCCGGAAAAAGCAGACACTGACGAATTATATTCAATGCAGCAATGTCATGTTCGAAGGCTAAGTCTCTTCGCCATGCCACATTCGCACTCTCACGACCCGTGATACGCCGAGCAAATTTTACAATTTTAGATATCCTTTTCCCCTGTGTCAAGCCACAATTCCCCCATACAGAAACACAGAAACGGATATGTGGAAGAACTAACGAATTAACAAGCAGTGCAATAGTTTTCAAGGGCATAATGTGACGCAAGTGACTCAGGCGTATCAGCATGCCAATGCATTTGCCAACAACAGTGTCGATATGGCTACTCCACGTAAGACAGCTGTCTAAAGTAACGCCCAAACTAATTAGAGACGGCTTAACTTGTACCACAGTATCAAATACATGTACACTCTTCAAATTAATCTTTTTCAAAACACATCTAGTGCCAAAAACAGTGACTTGTGATTTGGCAGCATTTACAGAAAGGCGGTTCCGGGAGAACCACACCCCAAGCCTTTGAAGAAGGGTCTGAAGGCGACCTATCACAGTATCTAGTTCGTTTGGTGGTCCCGAAACCATCACCTGAGTGTCATCGGCGTATTGAATTATTGATCCTGATTCAGACGCAACGGTGGGTAAATCATTCATGTACAAGTTAAACAACATCGGACCCAACACACTTCCCTGTGGAACACCTGACAGCACATCACCCTTCGCATCATTACAACCCCTCACATACTGGCGCCTACCAGAAAGATAGCTTTTGAACCATGGGTGTTCAATGCCATAGTGTGAGAGTTTCGCTAGCAATATACGATGATCTACACAATCAAACGCCTTGCTCAGATCTAGCGATACCAGAATGCAAATGTTTCCCTTATCAATAGAAGCCCTGATGGATTCCGTCAATGCAATCAGGGCATGTTCAACGGAATAGCGTGGTCGGAAACCAAACTGATTTTCTGACAACACATCGCAGTCATCTAGGTACGTACTTAGCTGAAGAGAGACAAGTCTCTCGAGAATTTTGGAAGCGACGCTTAAAAGGGATATAGGTCTAAAGCTAGACGCCTCCTTTGGGTCACCTTTTCCCTTGTAAATGGGAACTACTTCAGCTATTTTCCAACAGGATGGCAAAGTACCGCTGGTGATGGATGAGTTAAACACTCGTAGAAGCGATCCAAGAAGCCTGGAAGAGAAAGACTTGAATAAAAAAGCAGGGAGTCTATCTGGCCCACATGACGTGTGTGATTTTAAGGATCTAATAACTAAGCGTAATTCGTCCAATGTTGCTGGGCGAAGGTCGAATCTAGTTGATAATACTCTTGGGGGACCAAAAAACACCTCATCTGTACATGCACTGATATTTACTTTGCTAGCGAGGTTTCCACCTACTGAGCAGAAGAAATCATTGAATGAACGTGCCGTGCTTTCGTCCAATGACTGGGCGACTTTAGATTTGCCAAGCGTTGCATTTATTAAATTCCAGGTGTCTCTGCTGGACCTATGCGATCTGATACTAGACTCAAATTTTGCTCGTCGTTCAAAGCAAATTACTTTTTTAACCTGACGGCGCATATCCTTATAGAGGGTGATATCGGACTGAGCGTTGGTGCGTCTCGAAACACGTAACTGGGCCGTCGTTAAGCGGATAAGTTGCCTGGCGGCAGCTGAAATTCCAAATCCGGATTTGTGCTTAAGTGATACAGTTACAAACGGAGCATGACGATCAATGACTGGAATGACTGCTTCTGTCCAGCATTTCCAACCCTCGCCGGGATCAGAAACATCAACCCCGGGGGCCCAGGGTATCGCGTCATGCAGGTCTCTGCAGAAGGATTGGAAATCAATATTTTTCCATCTGCGGAACGTTATTGGAAACGGTTTCAACTTTTTCCTCTTAACTTTCATTTTGACTATTACTAGATTATGATCAGATACAATACAATCTTCGGAAGTGCACCCTGTCACAAAAGAAAAATCACTTACAAGAACAATGTCAATGAGAGTCGATGAGGAACTAGCAATACGGGTCGGCAGTTGCACACACTGATGCAATCCAGTATTGCCAATGAGAGTTAGTAGTTGTCGAACGTGTGGGAGGCTCGGTCGCAAGAGATCACAATTTAAGTCTCCGCATAAAACGACCTGCTTGCCCTCCGACAGCAAGGTCTGGACTGACAGCTCTAGTGCTTCGAGATCCTGTTTTATACAGTCATATATAGGTGGTCTATACACACAACCAACAACCAATGTCCGGTTGTGTCCACATTGTACGCTTACCCAAATTAATTCAAGACGCCCAGATTGTGACATTTTAGGGCCGGTGATCTTACTGAAAGTCAGATCACTGCGACAGTAAATGGCCACACCGCCACCTTTGCGTCCCCGATCAGCTCTGCCAGCTATCGTTAAATTAGCGATGGGGACATTTGGCTCACCCTTCCTTAGCCATGTCTCAGTAAAGCACATGACATCGATTTGGTGACGTTTTACATAGTCAGACACAAGGTCGGCTGAGGGTGTCAGTGACCTGACATTCAGATTGCCGATCGATAGCCCATATTTGGAAGTAGGTACATGGTGCGAGACGTTAAAACTAGCTGAGCAGGTGTCGCTACAATCAGTCACACTATTGGAAGGCCTCAGTCTAAAAAACCGTTTACCTCGCTCGACAGCATCTGCCAGACGTTTCTACAACCTGCTCTGTTCAAATTCAACCTGGACCTGTCTAAACCATTGTGGGCACATTCATTGAGTCTTGGTCGCAGGTCAATAAAACGAACACCTTCGCTGACGCACATTCTTTCGAGTTCATCATTCAAATGACTGCGTTTCATGGTGAGAAAGTTCTCTGTCGCATTTATGTCCTGAGGCACCGAGCATATCACAATGTCTCTTACCTTTTTGACTTGTTTGGCGGCCTTGATTACCTCGACTATGCAGTCAAGCGTATACTCCACGCTGTGCCGCGATAGATCATTTCCTCCCAGATGAAGGACGAGGTCAGCGGTTATCGCCCTGCAGCCGGCCACAGCGCCGTGAAGAGCAGACAGGGCGCTGCGAGCAGTTCCTCCCCGGATGCTGTCGAACACTACCTGAGCTCCAAGAAGAAACTCGTCTCTGGCCGCCTTGGCAATACGGCGCACGTTTTGACAGCCGAGCATGACTGCACCAACGCGCGGGACCGTACTGATTCTGGTGTCCATGCCTCTTTTCCGCAGACTGGAAACTGGTCGGGTCTTTCGATCATCAGCAGATGGTGATTGCGAAGCTGTTTTGACCACCGGCTTCTTCGTTTCTTTCGTTGCGCTGGATGCCGGTCTCGCAGACGATCGGTCGGGGGGAGTCGTCGGGGTTCGGTGAGGAGTCGAATAGGGACACACATTCGAAGTCATCGACGCAGGTGCTACATGCTTGCCATCTCCTGACGTGCCTGCTAGCATCATCATCATGCTGTTCACTTGTTTTGTAAGCTGATCAATTTGGAGCTGGCTGAGTCGAATTGCTTCCATTACGTCCATTAACGTTACGCCAGAGAAGGATGGGCCAGCAGGATGTTCATTCGAGGAATCAGGGCCCGGGTTCTGCTCCACACCTCCTATGACGAGAAGGGTGAGGATCAAGGCTATCCCCAGTGCAATGGAATTATGTTGAAATGATCTTGTTGATTTTGGTTTTAACCTTGCACGAATGTAGAACATTCCGATTCTCAGTCGGTAAGCTTGGTTGTCAATCATTGGCTTGATTTGAATACCTCACAATGGACGATATCGAAGTAGAGGATCACAGTGTCGGGCGTCACGATTGCCGCGCGAAAAATCGACTAAAATTCCGAGTGGCGCTGGAGCTATCAAAAAGCGAAAATTGTGGAAAAATAGGTTTTTATAATTCACCTATATCTTATAGTTCCTTCTAGTTCACAAGTTTTCCACTTGGCCACTGGTAGAAAGATTACTTATCTTTCAAATGAATGCACTTTCAAACCTAAGCGACGCTAAATATCATAATGTTTAGCATAAATCACGGAGCCTTCAGGGCACTGGTCGTCCCAACCGGGCAGTGGGGGCAGCTTGCCCCCCCCCCCCGCAACTCTGGGGCCGTGGGGGCGGTGCCCCCACAGCTTTGGAACGGAATACCACACTTTTTTTGCAAATGTTTTCTTTTTTGTTGAAAAAGCCGAGGGATGAAAATAAGTGGCCTAAAACCGGTGAGAAAACTAGATTTGGGGGTACCCTAGGTTGATCTCTATTATGGTGTACCCTCCCAGTCGGAAAGTAGTTCCCGCGCCGCTGATTTGGACAATGTCATGCACCAGAATATTGTAATAACAGCAGACCCAACACATTTTTTGCTCAAAAGTTTTGCCTTTATGTGCTCGAGCTTCACTCACTGCTTTATACTAGCTATTCTAACTGCTTTATACTAGCTACGATCAAGAGCGGAGAAAATATTACATTCAGAAGTAGGCATAGCTCATTGTACATACCTAAGTGCATTTGCATGCACTATGCCTATCTAATGCACATATAATGGAAACTTCGGATGGAATTAGATCAATCATGAAATGCCTATAGCGTTACTCTCAATAAAAATATCTCATTCCTTTACAAATAAGAAGTTGATTTGTTAAGCACAAAATTGAGCCTATTAGGTAAGACCTATAATGGTGCTTTTGTGTCTTAAGCATATCTCTTTTCATTGACTGCTGTATTTCGCTCCCTTTCTCAGAGTTCAACTACGCTGTATGACATCCAGCATCAATATCGAATTGATAAAATATCGAGTGTGAGCATGCATAAACGTTGAAGATGCCGTTTGATGCCGCGAAGACAGGAGCTTCGACATGGACCATTCAGCCAGGACAATTCTACTCTCCTTAGTTCTTGTCTGCCTCACCTACATTGGCGCCAATCTTCCCCTCATTTACTCGGCCTGGTTTGTCCCAATTAAAGCATCTCCTCCAACTCCTTCTCCCTCTCCTCCATCTCCGCCTCGTCTTTCTCATTCGCCGTATGTGCGCGCTCTTCATCGAGTCTTTTCTTCTTTACCTTTACTGCCTTTATCTGAGCTCTTCCCCCTTGTCACACACTTTTGCAAAGCTGTCACTTTGATATGCCCTATCGTCTCTGTTTGCCTGGCCCACATTCCATGTTCTCTCTTTAAACGTTGTGTTATCCTCTGTGTTGTTTACCTACCGGCCATTTTTATGCTTATCTCTCATCCTTCTACTTCATTAACAGACGCATCATGTCCTCCACCACCCACGCCTGTTCCCTGTCCTCCGCCAACCTTTGTTCCTGATTTTTACCTTCTCATGCTTCAGAATGTCCTTGTGTCTTTCCTCCCTTTCTTCTTCTTCTATTGGCTATGGTCCCTCTCTACAAAGGACAGAAATGCTCGGCAAGCAGAAACTGCTATTTGTGAACCTACCAGAGAGCTGCAGGCTGAGGTGAGCGTCGCGGCTTTGACCTGACCTTGGTCTGAGACCAACACCTTTAGCTGACTTTTTCTTAACGTTTGTCATCCGACGCGACTGAACGTAATTAAGACAATGGTGGCAAAATCGCGGCTATGCGACCATTTTGGGCGTGACGAGTCACCAAAAACTAAACCCCTATCTTTAGGAATTTTACTCGACGTTAGGGGTTACCGGTTGACCTGAGACCTTAAAATCGAATAAGTATCAGTCGATGCGTCTCGTAAAGGCACATCGCATAAAGCTCGTTTCTTCAGGGGTGAGAGGGATCCATCAAGCCCCCCGTATGAATATTATTTTTTGACATCTCCGCTAGCACAAGGCTATGGCTGGGGAAGGAACCGGTAGGTTCGGCGAAGGCTAAAACAGCCGCAGTGGTGGGTGATTGCGCGGAGAGCTGCAGTTCAAAACCCGACGCTTCTTAATGTTGAGCCATAGACCTCTGTACACCTTGTGACCTGGTGTACAGAGGTCTATGGTTGAGCAATTTGCTGTTTTGCCAGAATGGGAGGGTCGGGCGGGCGGTCCCGGTCCCGGAGGACCGCTCTGACCAGCCGGCCCGCACCCTGGCCGGAGTCCGGGAGGAGCTGGACTGCCCCGTGTGTCTGGAGCTGCTCCGGAGAGCCACCACCCTGGGCTGCGGCCACACCTTCTGCAGTGCGTGTCTGTGGCAGACGCGGACACAGCTCGGCAAAGTCTGTCCGCTCTGTCGGCAGCGCATCAAGTTCTACAAGGAATCCGTCACGATAGAAAATGTCATCCGGAGGATAAGTCAGAGGTACTGATCTACATAGAAGTGTGCGACCCGGATGAATTGATTGCCTTTGGCACTATGTATGTAGTGAGTTACATTATTGAAACTTAAATCAGATTCTGCTCGCAGCCAAGCGAACTCGTATATACTGGGTAGTGGGTATAGTGCCTTTGTTGTCACTGGATGAAGGGGATTTGAAGTGCGTGTGTTGAAAAGTGTGTTGTAAGGGAACGGTTCCCTCGTTTATGTGGAGATTATCGTTTAAATGAGGCTCCATGACTATAAGCAAATGTGTGTACCGCTTCTTCCAAATAAAACCATTCTAAGATGTAGCTCATGTCGTCACTAAAAACGCGTCGCTAAGAGTGTATATGAATGTCCTCCACTTATTTCGTTGTTTTTTCGTGCTCGCTGGGCATTTTTTCATACTCTCATACTGACTAGATAAAGAGAATTGCATGAACTTATCTCTCGTACGTATAATTATCCACGTTAGCCTCCAAATTACGGGCATCCTGTTCAGTCGGCGGCGCTGACTGACCGTGGCCTCGCTGCACAGTGCAGCAGCACCATTTTCCGGTCAGCCAATGGTCGGAAAAGTCGTGTCCGACCGCGCTGTCATTTCGCGAACATAATTTCTGGGCGACGGCCGTCTCCGTTTGATGCTGATGAGACCTAGACGCGCCAGTCATGAATAGCAAGCAGGCGAACCGAGAGCTCGCCGCGACCGACTGTGTCTCAGTTTCCGCGTCATTACCCGGCGCCAGATTCAATTCGGGATAATTTTTGTCGGACAGCGCTGTCGGTCGTTCGGCGCCCGCTGACTGCGGCCGACCCCCCCTCCCTCCAACCGGAGCCACCCCCCCCTCCCATCGGTCTACAGAGTCCCAGGATGGCTAGTTACCGGCACTGGGATCGCAACTAATCTGACTTTCAGATGGCCCGATGGAAGCGGGCGCCCGTCTCCGACCATGACTTCATTTCGCGCATGGAAATCGCTCCGATTGTCCGCGATCTGCCGCCAGTGCGCCGGCCAGCCTATAAGTAGGTCGTATTTCGACCGTTAAAGAACTCGCTACGGTTCCACTCGAACTGCCTTAGCGCTGAAAGAGAGCGAATCAGTGCCAATGGCCGTGGCATTGTGGAGCTTGTTGGACTGAGCTGAGATCTGATGTGTCCGGCGCTCGCTGCTGCGAGTGACCGACCAACCCAGAGTTGAGCTCTTGGAAAACAGACTGGATGCTGATAGCCAACTGGCTTTTATATGTAGTAACCAGATACAGAATATGCACAAATGAGGTATGGGACATGGATGAAAAGTGGATTAACAGAGGGAGTCAAAATATCATTCTAGGGTTGGTATGTTCAACGAGACGTTATCGAGGAATCAATGAAAGCTCTTGATGAAAGGTTTTCTGAAGGCTATGCAGTATGCAATGAAAGCTGTACCTACAACAATCAGCAATAATTTTTTGAAGAGCACGTTGTTGAGCAGACTGTTTTGAACTACTAGCACTGAACAATGACCATGCTATGGCTTTATTTATTCGCAGTATCGGCTCGATCAGCGTCTCGCTGTTGTGTTGTGCATGTGTCTTACACTTACGATCCCTGTTCACTTACTTGATACCGAGCTAAGATGTAGTGACTCATCATTAGTCATGTGAGTAGAAGGCTCGCCAAGCGTGTGCACCCAGCTGAGTAGTCACACCGCTCTCCGGCATTGTGCGCGCCGTTTGTCGATCGTTACAGCTCGAGGGACTGTCGGAAGAGGCGGTCCTCCTTCCACCCCGTCCATTTCCGGCGGGCTCTGATGACTTCCTGTGGCGGCAGACCACCCGTCCGTCCGTCCGTCCGTGAGAGCACCTTGGTGACGGGCCAGCGGCGGCGCCACCCCACCCCGGGCCCCCGGCCCTCCGGGAACAGTTCCGCTATATCGGCCCGGACCGGCCACCCCACCCCCGGTCCTCCGGGGACAGTTCCGCTATCAGCCCGGACCGGCCACTTGCCACGCCGCAATCGGGCCAATCTGCTGACGTCGCTTCAAACAGCTGGGCGGCGCTCAGTTCTCCGCTCCTCGCCGTCCGAGTTCATCACCTTTTATCGCCCGCGGCCTTTTATCGGAGCCCTCGCCGCCGACGCGCTGCGGCGGCCTTTTGACGGGGTGGCGGCGGAGGCGATGGTCTCGCTCGCGCTGACTGGCCGATGGGGGTGACAGAGTGGCGACACTCGTCGACTGGAGTGACGCCGTGTCACACCCCGTCGGTCGACTGTCCCGGGACTCGGCACTGCGCCACCGAATGACGGGAGGGTGAGCGCGATGAGGAAATCCGACGCCGGGTGTCACCAACCTAAAGGATGATGTTGATGGGAATGCACGATGGCAATTGTCAGACTCAGGAAGTTATAATATTGCTTGTTATTCTGGTAACTTTGCTGTTTTCTGCTTTTATTTGAGTTGACTTGACATATATTTTTGTACGGTGATGTGTAATAGCATTTGGTTTACATACATAAATGGTAAGGCTATAGGATGAGTGATTTATCGTCAATCACAGCGAAGAGGAACACAATCCGTTGTTTGCCCGCTGATGGGTGATTGAGTTATTGCACCGACTGGTTACATCCGGGAATCAATCGTCATCGGGGCCTGACTCAATAATCAGTACAGTGTGCCACTGCGCCAGGAACTCGATCCGGACCAGCGCGGTGGAAGTCTGCAGACGGGCAGTCATTGGCCCGTCATAAGCCGGAGTGGTGGCCGGCGCCCTGATCAGTGGTCACGCATATAGACCTGGCGGATGAGCCCGCACACGCCAGTCCAGTGCCGCCGAGTGCCGACCCGCTGACACGACGTGACACGACACGATGTCAGGTCCTCCCGCGGCGCCGTCTCGCCGCCGCTCGGATCGGTCGCCCGTCCCGCCGGCACCGATCAGGTTAGCCGCGCGCCGTGCTTCTGGCCTCGTTGTCGCTGCCGGGTCGCCTCGTTCGCTCGTTATTGTGTTACAATATGGCGGCGGCCGGGTCCTGATTTGATTGCCTCAGGGCCGCGTGTGCCGCATACCGAGCTGTCTCGCCTCCTTCCCGAACAGCGCGGCAGTGTGGCGCCCCTCCCCGACTGGGGGGAGAGGCACTCGAAAGGGCACACGCCGGCAGGTGCGGCCGGCGGGCCACTCCGACCTCAGGTGGAGGTAACTCGGTAACACAGAGCTGGGCTCAGTCTGGTGACAGTGAGGGTAGATACAGGGCAACCAAGGACAATCAAGCTGTTCACGCGTCAGATTGGCATGATTATGAGAGCGACTGATAAGTGTAACACCCTAAAATCAATGATAAGGGATATGAGGCTGCACGATAGCGCCTAGCGGATTGTTCGTATTTAGTGCACAAAAAGACGATGCATGTCTTGCAATGATCATTGTAAGCACTGTTCTGTACATACCTGAGCATGCTATGCATATGCCGCATTGCTCTAACTACCCAAATAATTTCATGTTTTATGAACTAAATTGCTGTAAAGAAAATGATTAAAAATAGCTAACGTTTCAATATCCTAATATGCAGCTTATCATTCATATTGTGTATGCATTTTTGATGAAGTATTAGGCAGAGGCGACAAATAAGATACCTAAACCTCTCGTCTCTGATACTCGATCTCCCGACTCTCTGCAATGATGAACTTCAACTGCCGAGATGCTGGATGTCATTCTCCCGAGCAGCGCCTGAGGCGTCTTCTGAAAACTGGATATGCCTTCGTAACTCTGTTTTATTGCACGACAATTTCATTTCCACCATTACTCTGGGGCCATATTCGCGACGGCTCAAATCTAAGGTGCGGCATCTCTCCATCTCTCTCCCCCTCTCTCTCTCTCCCCTCTGTCTCTCTCTCCTCTCTCTCTGTCTCTCCTCCCTCTCTCTCTCTCTCTCTCTCTCTCTCTCTCTCTCTCTCTCTCTCTCTCTCTCTCTCTCTCTCTCTCTCTCTCTCTCTCTCCCTCGGGCTGGGTTTCCGCGCGGGCCGTGGAGGCCTGACCGGTCACCTCCGTCCGCCAAACCGGCAGTCCATCTCCGGTGCAGTGAGAATAATTAACCCGCGCCGGGCCGGTGCTCTGAGATTCCGCGCCGGGCCGGGGGGGGGGGGTGTTTGAACACCCCCCCTTCTAACTCGGCTCCTGGGCCACGTAGCGACACGCGGTAAGCGGCAATCGAAAGAACGTCCAAAATAAGGACGAAAACACTTCGGTCATTTTTGGGTCAGGTCAAAGGTCAGGTCACCAGAGGTCACCAAAGGTCAAATATCTACTATTTCAACATTTTGGAAACTGCCAACGGCTATCTCGGGAACCGATAGAGCTACAGCGCCGCGGAAAAGCGCATTCGATAGCCCTTTTACAGACCTTTCTGAGTAATGTTCTCAGATTTGACCTCAGGTCAACGGTTTAGCCTCCAGGGGGCAAAAACTCCCAAAATAGCCGTTTTTACGAAAAACGTTTTTTCAGCAATAACTTTTGACTCAAAAGAGTCAGGACATTACTTTTGCCACCATCGTGTTCCTCTCGTCAAGACGCGTCGAATGAACTATAATTTGACCTTGAAAGGTCAACTTGAAAATTTGACCTCAGGTCAAGGTCATGACCTGACCGGAAAAGGTCATGTTGTCGATCTGCAACGTCGAGCCGAACACATCTAAGGCGTTTTCAGCGCTCTAGCACGTCTCGATCAGAAGTTATTAGTGAAAAACTGTTAGATTCTGTTCGTGACCTGAGATGACCTCGGGGACATAACGAGGGGTCACAGTTGCCATTTTCCGGTTCAGTGTGTCCATTTTACCTACATCTCGATGTTTGAGAGTGTCTAGAATAACGTTCGTGCAAAACAGACGCTTTTCAATTTTCTCCCATTGACTTATAATGGAGAGGTCGCAAAATTGACCTGACCTTAGGTCACCGATATCAAAATTCCGAGATATACATTTTATATATATTGTTGCTCTAATCAATCGCTGAAAGTTTCAAGGCAATCGATCAATCGGTGTAGCTATGAAGAGCATTCTTATTTTTTCTGAGGTGAAGTCACTTGGCGTGACCTTGTGACCTGACCTAAGGTGACCTGGGTCTGAAATTTTCACAACATGTGCGGAAAAGATGCACAAACAGGTGTGCCAAAAACCGCATGGGAGGTGTTCAAACACCCCCCCCCCGGCCCGGCGCGGGTTAAGGTGAGATAGTTCACAGGTCAGGGCCAACGATTTGTCCTGGAGTTGGCCGGGTGGTAGCAGTATGGCGACTCGCATGTCCATTATTAATCATTTTTATATAAGATTGTAGGTAAG